TGTAGAAGTTCGAGGGCAAGCGGGCACAAATGGGATTCGCGTTTGGCCGGTGCAAACGCGTGCCGTACGTAGTACATACAATAGACCTTATATACACAGTAGAATAGGGGTAGATAAGGGCGCGGATATCCGTCGGGGGGCGGGACCTGTGGCGCTCGTTCCGCGAGCTCGCCATCTTGACGCCAGGATTCCAACACATCCCCTCGAGCGAGCGCGGGCAACGAGCGAAGGATAACAAACAAATTGAACGGGGCGGGGATAAGGGAAACAGCGAGCAAGGAAGGAGGGGTTGTGTCCGCACAAATAAGGGATAACGTACGATAAGTCTAATACATCCCCTTAATCGGGGCGTTTACCACGCTTCCGTCTCCTTCTCGGCAAGAAGCTGATCGGCGCTAACGGTTGCCGAAAACGCGTAATGGGCCTCTTCAGTCTTAAGCTCGGGGCAGTCGCGCTGATAGTGGCCCTTCTTCGAGCACTTGAAGCAGGTGATGCGCTCGAGCGGGGTGCGGGGCTTCGTGTAAGCAGCGAGGGCGACTTCGGAGTCATGATGAGGCGGGTTGAGGGACAATTGGCGCGACTCTTCGTTAAGTAAGCGGGTGATGACGTAATCGATGGTAAGCTCGCTAGGCGGGGTAGAGTCGAGATTAACGACCAGCTGGGAATACGAATCGGGGAGGCCATTCGTGAGAACGAGGATGCGGTCTTCATCGGAGATAGAGGCGTCAATCTCCTCGAGGCGGAAGGCGGCCCGGCGGACGTCAGCGATCCACGATGTCATCGTTTGTTCCGGGCGCTTCGTTAGGCGCCAGAAAGCGCGCCGGTGCGCGACCCGGGTACCAAAGCCGCGGGCGCGGTGGACTCGACGGAGCTCGGTCCAGACTTCGTGAACATCTTGTGATTGGATGTGGGCGTACTGGGTGGGCTCGATATTCAAGATAATCTCGGCGCGCGCTTCTGCGATCTTCGCACGCCAGGCACGCACAGCCTTCGTGTTATCAGAGCCGGAGGGGCGGGTTTCATCAGCAGGGGCGCTCGTAACCTCCCAGAGACCCTTGCGAACAAGGAGGGCCTCCATGCCGATAACCCATTCAGCGTAGTTGTCGTCGGCGAGCTTTGCAATTGTGGGCGGTGCCATCGGGGCGGGAGCAGCGGGGAGCGCGGGGTGGTCACGGTTACGGGGTCGTCGGGGTGCACGGGGTCGTCGTCGGGTCGGTCGTCGTCGGGTCGGTCGTCGTCACGGGTCGTCGGTTCGCGGGATCGTCGAGTGGCTTCGGCCCCACTAGGCAGTGCCTCGAATTATCCTTCGGGCAGAGGAGACGCGTTTGTGTAGAAGTTCGAGGGCAAGCGGGCACAAATGGGATTCGCGTTTGGCCGGTGCAAACGCGTGCCGTACGTAGTACATACAATAGACCTTATATACACAGTAGAATAGGGGTAGATAAGGGCGCGGATATCCGTCGGGGGGCGGGACCTGTGGCGCTCGTTCCGCGAGCTCGCCATCTTGACGCCAGGATTCCAACATTTCCACCTAAGCCACCTAGCACAGACCCCAAGTGGGGTCTCCTTGGAGCAGTCCTGTATCAGACGAATATACACGCTGTCTATGCTGGTACTGAGCGAGTCAACGCCAATGCCACTTGCTGCAAAGCTCAAGCGCTCGAGCCGGCACAAAGGAGCCTCCTCCCGGATCATGAAGCCAACCATGGAAGTTGAGAATCATCTAGCACTCACGGAGATGGTGATGGAGAGTGTGAATGCTCTTGCGGAACGAGGGAGTGGCTCGCTGCTTATCTCTTGGGATGCGGGACGATCGACCGAAGTGCCGACTAGGCGCAGCTCTCAGCACGCTGTTCGCTGAAATTCTCATAGGCATCTGCCGAGCACAGGAAGACCAGGGGTGGGCGATGCCGACCCCCAGGGACGCCTCAACGTGGTGCATTGTGAGGGGCGTCCGGGGAGAGGTGATTCTGGCGCGTTGTCGGCTATTGGAGGATGGAGAAGAGGGCGGCATAGCGGACCGTTGCCTTTCTGGGCGATCGGCGGCGTGATAAGGCGTGCTCGCGCAGCCATGTCCATCGAGCTGTCGTCTGGAGACTGGGATGTGCTCGTATGCTCACAGTGATGAATATCTTGGAGGCCGTCCCGCCTCGCCGATATGGGGTGGGTCCGTTGGAATTCGTCCGGCTGTGTTGTGAAGGCTCGGACTTCTTTATCACCCACGTCGGTCCAACCCTGGCCCTGCTACGGATAGAGAACGTAAGCGATAGCAAAGATACACGAGCGAGGTGAACATGAAGTGGCATTAACTCACTCGCAATCGGACTCACATTGCCAAACTCTCAGATCGAGCCGCCAATGCATGATGTGAGATTGGTTCCCGCAGCCAGTTCCAACCAGCAGAAAGAGACGAAGAAGATATTAAGGCAACATACCATACCTGGGGATCGTCGCAGCTTCCCTTTCCCATGTCCTGATATCCCGGGCACGTAAAGATGGTCCTAGCATTGTAGAAGCATCGGTGCTCGGTGCGATGACCGCCAGCGCCGTCGTCAATATTACACGAGCTTTATGCGCAGAAGGCAGTGAGCAAATTGTTCCCGATGATAGCTGCCGACTTACTATGACGCAAAAGCATTGACCGTGCTACGGTAAATTTTTAGGTTATCGCATTCGATCGCGCATAGTTCTTAGGAGCCTTGCACTAGGTCCATTAAGCAAGCCAAACTGCGGGATACGATCGTCGTACCCCACACTGTTTGTCTTACCTGAAGGACTGGGGAATGACCTTCGGAGATTCAGACATAGCCGCGGAGTGGTACCTCGCAGTAATATCGGCGACCTCGGCATCAACTAGATACCGACAGGTCGAAGTTGACCTCGTCGTCGTGAGCCGCACGTCATGTCCGGTATGCGTTCCGGAACCGCGGTAGTGGAACGTGACCAAGTACAACAACGCATCGTAACATTGCCTCGTCTGTCCAATACAAGACAAATCTCAGTAGTAGTGGAAGCTTCTACTAAGGCAAGGGCTAGATGGGTGGTAACGTCAAAATGCTGACACGACCGTCGCGCGACAGATACACTCACCCGCCTAACGTCCCAGCAATGCATACCGAACTACCGCGAAGGGGCTTACGGCAATCCCACTTGTACACCGGATAGTCCTGCTGCTGTGCAACGCTTCGACATGCACTAGACGTAACAGACGTACTTCGTGACAAATCAAACGACACAGAGGACTCGCGGGGAGGCGATCGTCATGATGTCCTCGACGCGCCCTCGAAACGCGAGCTTTATATCCAAAAGAAAAGATCTGCACATGGCAGGCACAACATACGGAGTATCGGACGACGGATGCGTGGCACCGAGGAACCCTACTTCTATTGGCTGGAAATGCGGGGTCCGGGCACGATGACAATCCGCAAAACAAGATGACGGGTCGGAGCCGGACCTGTAACCGTTGATCATCGTCGGTGACATGTGGCTCTGAGACTACAGAAAATATCCGATGCGGTGAGTATATGCGTTGCAACTGGGCGCCACTAAGCTCACCTCGCTGATCTCCGGCTGAGCATAGTACTCGGCCGCACTAGTAGCGCACATTGTTCTTTAAGGGTGCAGAGTTCCATCCTAGTAGTCTCGCAGTATCTGCTCGACAGGCAGAAGCACAATACACACGTTCAACAAAGCGCGGAGTCGGTGATAGGAAAACAAAGCTGTTCGCGTAAGTGAAGAGGTGAAGGATCCTTTGATTCGCTGTCACCGTAGGCTGCCAACTGCATCTGCCAGAGATGACCGTCGTAAGAACCACAGTCTTCCCGTTCTGCCGCTACCAATGAATGTGCCTGGTTGACGATTCGCTTTCCAAGCGTTATCGCGGTACGTCTTTATGTCCGTCTACGACTCCACGAAAGGTAGAAAGTTATTCGCGGCTGTGCGTCCGGATGCAATCCAGGCCCTCTATCGAAGCAGGCGTGGGAGCGGAGAAACTTCCTTAGATTGCAGAAGGCCCCAGCACAAGAAGTCGGCGGATAAGTCGCAGGTTCGTGGCCACCGGCAAGTCCACAATCGTAGTGACCGAAAACTAGGCTGCGAAAAGCGCCTTGCGGAGCTCGTCCGAGCCATCGGGTACGATCATGTCAGGTACACCTTCCAGCTGCAGCTGGAACGTACGCCTGGAGTGGGCGGGTCGCGCAGAGGAATTCCAGTGCTGTGGTGCGCTGCTCCGCGTTATGCACAGGACAATGACATCGAGCACGAGTGGGAAAAGGAAGCCAGAAAGAAGCCAAGGCGTCCGTGGGAGCGCGAGGACAGGGCGCCATCGGCATCGCTGGGACAGCTTGACGATACCGTCGTAAGCAAGAGCGCGCCTCGCGACGTCGCGCTCCTGCAGGGCGTGAAGTCGCGCGCCGAGGGGTTCGGAGCGCGGAGCTCGAGAAGTGATCGTCTCGGAAAGGGCTAACCCGACGCACCCATCCAGGCGCAACGCCTACGCCTCAATTTTTGTGGCGCGCCTCCGTGATGACGATTGAGATGTCGTTATGCTCCCAAGCCAGAAATGGCACATTTGTGGCTGATACCTGAGAAGAACATGTATGCTCCGAATCAGATTCGGTGTCGCAAAGCGATGGAAACTGTGCGTACGCGCGGCGAAGAATCATTCTTGTCAATCGCGGGTAGGCTCAGGCCTAGCGTTGATGAGGTAGTACGCGATTAGCGACGGAAAGAAGTAAGACAAGCGGTGCCTAATTGTTGTCATCGCTGTCGTCGCTCGAAGGCTAAGGGTCTAGGCCATACTTTTACGAAAATCTGAGCAGAAAGAGGGGAAGGTGGACGCGTGCGGACGCTCCTGCGGCGATAAGACAATGGTGAGAGCAGCGCATCACGCAAGTGGGAGACCACGCACCATTACAGTAGCACTGCAGCAACCAAGTGCTGAGCAGCAATTCATGCGATGGTCTGATGGCTGTTCGCGTCAGAAGCCAGATCGAACGGGTGTCGCACGATAGGCGAACCCATTTCCCCTTTGCTTGGGGTCGTGGCGATAGCGTGGGTCTCGCTCGCGTGTGGTGGGTATGCGGAGATGCCATTGCCACCACGGAAGGGAACTGAGACGCCGAATGGGCGCTCCGCAGTCCGCATCCCTTCCGCGTCAGGATAGTTGACAGTCTTCATCACAGCCCAACCCAGGCCCTATGGCCGGTCAGACAGAGATGATGTCAATGTCAGCTCACGACGCGGTACTCCAACGCTCGGGAGTCCAATGGGCTCACCTCGAAAGACTGAGTGATCGAACGCCAGTGCAACGAGCAACTCGTGGCCGCTTCGGACACGGATCGGGGCGGAATGCCTCCTCCGTCCGTTCACATTGCGAGCCTCCAGCGTGTGCGACCAAAAGCCGAGGCCTGCTCAGGTACCAAGCCGGCGCTTGGCAGCCGCAGCGATCGCGGAGGCCTTGGCGAGGTCATGGCGAGGCGCAGGATGGGGCGCACAGAGCCTGTTATACTGTAAGCACTCTGGTAGTGCGTACAGCGGAGCGAGAAAGGAAAGGGGGGGCAGACCTTCATACTTAGGTACAGTACACCTGACGCGCTCACTACGGCGGCTGACACTCTAGGCGCGTCGGAGCGCCTGCACGTACAGGCGGATGAGGATCGGTCAGCGGACTGGCCGCACGCGGAACGGGGTTGCAGCTGACCCCGATCCCCGTGCGACGAGTGTGTGCACGACGCGTTGCTCGGGTGCAGGGCTTCTTGCTATGTGTCCAGAAAGACGGCGGGAACGTGTCGGCCACATTGCAGCGCGGGCGAGGGTTTGCTTTCTTCCCAGCGACCTCAGTTGTGAAGATCTTTCGAGAACCGAAACGTTGCGATGGGGGTATATGAAAGTCGGCGTACCTAGCCTAACATCAGACCCTGACTCCATGCATGGACGCCCTGTGAGGTGAGCGCGGGAGAGGGGTGCCCTGCTGAGAACGGGTCGTGTGTGGCTTCGCAGTCCGGAGATCATGTCATGGCATGACACGGTCCAGATCTGACCATTTGACCTCGTCTGCCCTACCCCAGACATGCGTGCGCAGGTAGCGAGGAGCGGGTTGAGAAGTGTTGGGGAGGACGTTACGTCAAGACGCACAACGGACTTCACTTACCCAATGTTCGTCTTGTCCACTGAATCGGGCGTCCTTGGCAATCGCATCGGCCACACTGCTGGTTGCACAGAGTACGATGTTTGGGAACGTCGTGGCGCGCAGGGAATGTCGGCCACTAGAACTTGGCGAGAAGAGACGTCAGCCCGAGGTCAGACGACAGATCTCAAAGAGCTCACCGCCATCCTTCGCGTGTATGTCATGCGAACTCTAGAGCCTTCATGAACTCGCGCTGAATAGCTGTCGACTGCGCGTATCGTCATAGGACCCTTCGCAAGCGTTCAGAGTCCATCAGAGATGCGACGGGCCCCACTCTTCTCGACGACCGACGAGGCTTCGTCAGGCGGCTGCACACGAGCTACTGCTCATTGGATGCGACTCATCGTCCACCTATGACCGCGTTAGTTTGATTAGTGACCCCTCCCGACGGATAATCGTCGCGACTTCTCGAGCGCGCTTTGATGTGGCGCAGACGCGAGGTCGCCCTCCCAGAGCAGCGAACGACTCGTACGGCACCCACGTCCCTCAGTAGGATAGCGGCTTCGCCATCAGCTGTACTGAGCTGTCAGCGAATCCTGACGTAAAAGCCCCAAGCCGCCCGGCAGAGTTCCATTCGCGTCTGATCATGCCACACCGTGTGCTCTGTATAGTTCGCATAGTGTGATGACAGAGTCGGTGAAGTGGGGGACTAAGCTCAAACGCAGCTGAGAAGCTCGCCGCGTCCGCGGCATGTCCTAGCTGGCCGCACACGCAGCCGCGGCTGGGGCTGAGAGCGTACAGAACCTTCCTGCGAACGCGGCCAACGCGGGTCCATTCGCAGTTCCCATCCGCGACTCACACACCTCCGAACGGCAGTCCTTCGACGGAGCGCGCGTTGTAAAAAGCCCCGGTGTCCCAACTCCGGCAACAGTGCTAGTCGTGCGCGTTGTTTCCGTGCGCCGCTTGCTCTAGCCTCTGCGTGCTGGTCCCTGACAAGAGAAGGGGCTGTCTGCGCAGTCTCACGACGCACAAGGGCGAGCGCGTCGCGTAGGGGCAGCGAAGTTCCCAGTCAGAACTTCCCTTGGCTCGTGGCAGTGGTGCGCAAAGCCGGCTTCCTTGTACAGCGGCCGCGCTGGGAAGCGTCTTAAGAAGCACTACGATTAGGTGCGATAATCAGTACCGTGATAGCTGGAGATTCATACGTGCGAGTGGACGGCGTCCTGTAGACAGAAGAGACGGACGTACAGCTACGTCCGTAACCTGTCAAGCTCGTGTGGATACGCCGTCAAGGAGAGCTTCCTTCTGTTCGTGATGCGAGCACAGCGTGCGCATAGTGCGACAATCTTGGAGCCAGCGTGAGAGACAGACTGGTCGGAGAACGTTTAGGAAAGGCACAATAGAAAATTGCGTTTGGCAGCCGTAGTGCGTCTCCTACTCCGCTCAGGGGATCAGGCCTAATTGGACGTGCAATTGCTGGGCGAGTCAAGGAGTATGATTGTACGATGAGTCTTAGTGAAAAGCGGAAGCCAGAAGACAGATTCGATCGCAGCCAAAGAAGAGAGCACATAAGTACAGGAAGGTGGAGAGGGGTGCTGGGTTACATAAGGAGGTGAAAGGCTGATAAGGGGCTAGGGTCTTCCGACACCCAGTCGACGTTCATATTTAATTGCTTTGACAAGGTACATGGACAAGGCGGGTCGAGAGATTGCCGTCGCAAATCGCTGTGCAGGGGCGGGCGAGACGTACTTGGAGGAGACCGACGTGTCGGGGACCGTGGCGTTAGACAGGCGGACACACGTGCGGAAAGTTCATGAGAGCGTTCAAAATGGAAAAACGAACGAGCTGCCGAAACGATCCATACAAGCGCCATCAAATCTCGATCTACATTCAGTCTATCTGGTAAAAGCGCCCATCGAGACTGGACGCGCACTAATGCAGATCGCGTCTGCCCGATTAGTCCGTGTGTCAGAATGATTACCTTGCGGATTTGCTGCTGCGCGACATGCCGCCGGATTACCCAACTGGATGTACGAGTCTTGTGGTAAGCCGCGTCGGGAGCGGGTCGGGCAAAAACGCCTGGGTCGAGGACGAGGTCAGAGGCGTTATGAGAGACTATGGTATAGTCGATGGCGTATGGATGTCGCGGACAGCCGCGAGGCAAGACGCAATTGGCTGTACTTAGGCCTAGAGGATGGACGAGTGACGATGCCGGGAGCATGGGACGGTGGAGCGGGAGGACGGGATGCGGGCGCTGGAAAAGGCAGGCCGAGGGCGGTGGACCGGCACGGTGACAGATGGGGACTCAGGGACTGCTGATGTGTCGCGAAATTGTTGGCAGAGACGCGCGGGCGGCGTGGCAAACGCTGTCGGCGGCAGAGACGGCGGAAGATGGAATGTGAACTGGATCGCCCGTGTGAGTGAGAAGAGAAGCTGGGACACAAGGAGAATATTGGGGAGAACTCAAGAATCGGACTGGTACCGGGGGGGATGTGGGGAGATCGCCGGCTATCTGGACTTTTAGTGGAGGACGATAGGAGGTCGGACCTGGGCCAGGTGGAGTGGGAACGGAGGTGTATAGTCCAGACGTTGCTCACGGTTTCCGCCGCCGCGTTGGGTAGGGCGGGGGCGGGCTGTAGAGGGCGATAGACGACAGCGGTGGGGATTGAGCGCATCGCATGGGGGGCAGCGATAGAAAGACGTGGGGCGGGTGTCTGAGGGCGGAGAGGATTAGTACGCAGAGGGAGTGCTATGAGTGTCGGGTGACATCACATCCAAATGCGGGAGATGAGATAAACAAAGCGTTTACTTGCGCTGGGCCTGAAATTGAAAACTGGGAGGCCTTCTTGTTGACTCTCTCTTCCATCTCCCCAGGGGTCTCCATCCTCCCGCGTTCCCCTTCCCTGTGCGGGCTTCTCCATGCGCCTCTGATATAACCCCCTCCCCATTCATCTCATCTCCCTTTCCCCAGATAGCGCCATGCCCTACGCCGGTCCCTCAGACGCTTCCTCCACCACGACCGCGACTCGTTCCCCTCATCCCCACCGTCGCACCCGCTCCTCGAGCAACTTCTCAGACGAGCGTGGCCCCGGTGCCTTCGCCCCCCTCGGTCAACTTCCTCGTCTCAACAAGAAAGCCGTCTTCCACATTAACGACAACGATGATGACGACAACCCTAATGACGATGACAGACCGTCCTATACCTCGTACGCTAGCCCGTACTCTCCAATCAACTCCCTCCGCCTCTCCATGAACACAGGCAAATTTTCCCCCTCAGTCGATCCCCCTCCCCGTATCGACATCCCTCCGCTCGACCCCTCCACTGCGGTACCCTTCCCCACTTGTTCCCCTGCGTCCCCTTCGTCATCCCGCCCTTCCTCCCCATTCTTGTCTTTCTCCAGGTCTTCTTCTAAGACCGCCTCCCCGTCCCTCCCACGCACCCCATCCAGCTCTATCATCTTATCGAACGGGAAACCTCTGAAGTCCTCACTCAAGTCCTCGGCATCGTCTCCCAACATCTCAGATCTCCCTATCAAGCACATGCGCGCACAGTCTGCCCCTTCCACGCCGAGCCACATCAAGAACGTGCACTTCGCGGAAAAGGACTCAGGTCTGGAGACCGTCCGTGTCTACAACCGTGCTGGCAAGCCCGCTTCCCTGTCGAAGCCGCCAGGTGACGAGACCGAGACCGAGACTGAGGCCGAGAGCAGCTCCTTCCCTTTCCCTGTCCTTCCCGCGTCGCACGTCTCTTCCTCTGCGTCGTCGACGACGCTCCTACATGAGATTGATTCTAACGCCGAGCGGACGAGCCCAGTGCCCAAGCTGAACCCGTCCCCTTACGCCAACGTTTTCCTGGAGACGCTTACGCTCCCGAAGACGCGTCCGCCGACGCTTCGCGGCACAATCTTGGTCCGAAATGTGGCGTTTGAGAAGACGGTAGCGGTTCGATTCACTATGGACGACTGGCAAACGACGAGCGAGGTCATGTGCAAGCACGTGGTTAGCCTGCCCGGCCTCCCCCCTCCCTTCCCTCGCGCGAGGACGATGGGAGACGTCGCCGCAAACATCGCAACCGGGCAAACCGAGGACGATCAGAAAGAGGGTTTGGGTCCCGCATGGGATCGCTTCAGGTATGTACAGATCATCGGTCATCATTTATGGTAATCCGGCTCATTGTCCCGACACAGCTTCACTATCCGCTTAGAGGATTACGAGACGAAGCTTTCCGAGCGGACTCTCTATCTGGTCGTTCGGTATAACCCCGGCTCGGGCGGTGAGTGGTGGGACAACAATGACGGAGCGAACTACCGCGTTGGCTTCCGTCGGGCAGCTGCTTCCCCTCTCCCTTCCCCAGCTCTCGGTGCTGTGCACTCGCAGCAGCGGACCTTCAGCGCCCCGAGCACGCTCAGGACCACGCCGACTACTGGCACCGTCTCGCCATATACTCCTTCCACGAGGCAGCTTGCGCCTACGGCGCCACAACTCGTTAGGAGCATGTCGTCCCCGTACCCGAATTTCGGACGGGAGAACAATGAGTGGGAAAAGATGAGCGAGAAGGGTCTCGGCACGCCGACGGCGGCGTACCTCTCGAGGAAGCTGAACCTCAGCAACTACGTTGCGCCATCCGCACAGGCCTCCACGTCTTCGATGGTGACACCCCCCACTACACCCCCTGGAACCGGCCGTCTGCGCAGCGCCAGCCTTCCTGCGGAAGCCGGCCTCAGTGCGGACGAACCCAAGGAGAAGCCTGCGCAGACTGCCGGTGACGAGAAGATTCCGACTGGGCCGACACTATCGCCGCCGACGCATCGCACGATACCTGAACAAGGTCGTCCCACAACATCGGTACAGGCTGCCTCTTCGTCCTCGACATACCGCTCCCCTTCGCCGTCCGCAGGTTCCCCACCAGTGCTCTCTCCTTTGACGTCGATACCAGGCCCGTCCGCGGACGTGTTGGCGGCCAACGCGCGGTCGTTCGGCCCGTCTTCTTTCGGGTATGGCTTTGACGAGGCAAACAACTTTGGCTACAGCCGCCCTCAACTGCTGAGCCCACCGCATTCAAAGGAGGGCAGTCCCTCGTCGAGCGGGACGGCGAGTCCGAGGCGAGATGGCAGCCCTGAGAGGTCAGCACTCGGCCTGGAAGTCGTGTCCGACAGTCCAGCGGGCAACAACTCTGCGACAGATAAGGCCGCCGTCACGTCCCTGAGTGACGCCGTGCGCGAGCTCGGTCTCAACATGTCCCCAGACGCCACCGCTAACGCGAACGCGCGTGTAGACACGAGCGACCCGACCTACGCCGCGCTGCTCAGGCAGTGGTGCTTCGCGCAGAGCTCCCCTCCTGCGCCCAACGCCGCCAGCTCGCCGTCCGCCTCGCAAACGAAACCTCCTCTGCGCTCGCCTGCTTCGATTTTGAAGAGCGGTGAGACGACGCCGAAAGTTGGGTTTGGCGTGAACTCCGGGTATGGGTTTCCTGGGTTCAACTTTGGACTGCCAGATGCGGGAATAGTTGGAGGTGAGCAGATCATCTCGTCTTATCAAATACTGTGTTCGTCCTTCGAGGGGACCCGCGTTATGGTGAGAGCGGTGGGAGGGATGCGGGGTAGGAGACGTTCATGCGTCTCGTCTTACGCCGAGTGGATATACGAGAGGCGAGCTGAGGATCCGACCCGTTTTCCCTCCGCTGTCGCCCAGCGTAGCCTTCGTTTACGTCTTTGTGTTCGGTGTCTTGGATGTCTGTTAGTCGTCGCTGACATTCCCTTTTCTGTAGCGCACATGCGGTAGATCGGACGCGTTGGGCCGGGCCACACGGCAGGTGTGCGTCTCTGGCTACGTCACGGCGCGCAACGTTGTGCACGCGAGCCTCCCTCACGCGCTGTTGGCATGGTCAGCTGACGGTGTTGGCTGGGGGACGCTCGGCGCGCGATTGTTCGACCTCGACGTTGAGAAGATATCGTTGCTGACGAACGCTGACGGCTCAACATTTTCTCATCTCTATGCACTACCATTCGACGCGACTACTTCGCGCTGCTTGGCGAGGACGACTACTCTGATACCCTGCATACGTGCGGAAGGGCGTATCACACGCTTCGCTGTGATGAGCGATGTCTCTCGTCGCTCGTCTTCGGCTCTTCTTGGCTTTATCTATTCCTATCGATATCTACCGTGTTGTCATCTAGCCTCTCACGTGTTCTCGACGTCTGACTTGTCTCGCTCTCTTCCCTCACCCGAAAACGAACGGTTGCTACCGCACACACTCGTGGGCTTCCGCTCGAGCCAGGCGTTCTGCCCGCTACCTATTCCATATCATCCACCATACTACTTCCCCGGGCCCGAGCGCCGGCACGCATACACGGACTTGTCGCCGCGTCTCGCATCACACACATCTCGTCGTAGATTCTTTACCCCTCTCCTATGGCACTCGATCCCACTACATCATTACTGTGCACCATCTCGCTCCATCTGGTTCGGATCTCTGCAAAACTTCCTACCTGCTTCCATCTCGTGCCTTGTCTCCGTTCCCACTCTGAGAGTTGTACGATAACATATCCCCAGCCTCTGTCGGGCCCTTGTCGCTCCTTTAGTGCCTTCCTACATTTGAGGCCTACCTACTCCCCCAACACTCACATGCATCCCGTACGTTCCAATTTCCATCCACACAAGTCTCCAGTCTTGATTGTCTCGTTCTGCTTCACGCATCGTCACGTTCTCCTAATCGCAATTGTATGCATAGCGCCACCCACCACTTACATATCCCACGCACAGAATCTCACCGCTTTGCTCACCTGGCAACAGTAGTTCCCAATCTCGACTCGATCGCGCCGCCTGCCTTATGATTGTGGCGTTCAGGTGATGCCTTCGAGCTGCACTTGCAGTTCACGCTCCGCGGACCCAACCCTGCTAGCGTTACACGCTGCAGAGGGTGCTGTCAAAAACTCCGCTTGTGGTCGATGCGCACACATACGCTCGACCACGTCCCTGGGCCCCATTAAGGGGACCCTGATCCCTTTCCTCATCAACCTTTACTAGACCGCGAGGCTGCGCGTACGCTTCGCGAATCCGCTTGGCCTTCTACTCCGCGACAGTGACAGGATTCCATTTGCTACACACAAGGACCCCACTCCTATTACCCCGTACTAGAATCCGTTCTGCCCAACCTCAATCCCTCTCGTGATTTCAATGTTTGGTGGCTCTATACATGCTCCATCTCGGCCCGTGCTGTCTCGTCTTGTTTCGTTGATCACCGTATGCGCACTATCATTATAGATTTGTCACCCCCGGCATCCCACCTTCCCCTTTTCCGCTACATCCCCCTCCCAACATCGGCACGCCTTATCTCTACACGTCTCATGGTCTGTACATACCCGCAGTCTTGGGTCGATCGTTCTTGGTAGAAATGATAGACCGAATCAAATCTAAACTCTCACCCGACGAGATGACAGCGCAGCGACCAGGTCCATCCAAACCGAACCTCGGCCGGACTGGAGGCACACACGCACCGTCACTGAGCAGAGCGTATGTTGATGAAAGAGGATCATAAATGACGTCGTGGCGCGCTCGTGCGTTCTCGGCTTGTCCGAATGCAGCCACGGGCGCGAGAGCCATTCAATCATCGTTGCGCATCTCTGTCCTCCCGCGACTTCCTGGGTCGCAGCGGTGGGTCACCAGCCCACCGTTCGCACACAGGGGGAGTAGGTTTAGACTCTAGAGACGGCTGCCCCACCTGAGCACAGCCGTGACGCGGGAACTTTGAGTCTCCTGAATTGAACGTAAGGGGCCCTCGCCGCCACCCGTGGGGGTCGGGCTGCGTGCTGGGGAAACGTGCACGGGGATCGGCTTGTATGTTTGCCCCACGCGTGGAGGCTCTAGCCAAGGGTCTGAAGGTCGAGATTTGGGCCTTGGCCTTCGTGTCGATGTACTTGGTATTGTTGAGACGGCTTAGCCTATACGACCTGTCAAGCGAGAAGGAGGACGTACAGTATATGCGCTAAGGCCCTCTTCTGTGTATACAGGGTCGAACTTTGCGAAGTACATAGTGCGGCGGCGGCGACCTAATGCTTCGGCATTGCTCTGCTAAATGGCGTTAGTAGAGGTGGAGCGCACGGCAAGCTTCCGCGAATCGGCAGCGGTCAGCTAACAATGGATACACCACTTTCCCGAAACCATCTGCCATTTTGAGGGCCCTCGCAGACTGTGCCATTAGGTTGAGGGCTTGAGTGCGACCGCGGACTGTAGCAGCCATTCGTCAGAATTACCAAGCGAAACCAAGGGATCGACGCGCCTGGTCGTGAGTGGGCTCGCCGATAGGCCACAAGGCATACCGAAGCCGGTACGGCGCTCTATTCAGTCCTCGGGTTGTCAACGTCGTCCACGGGACCAGAGGGCGCCGCCACGCTCGGAGAGTAGAACATTCCTTGAAATTTGAGGCTCAAAAATGAGTTGGACAAGGTGTCGGTTGCCCGTTCGGACTTAGGTTGTCTTCACATCCGCTTAGCCCGTCAAGGAAACATTGTCAGGATCCGGAGGACAACTCATTTGAGGGCGAGGACATCGCGTTTGGGACGCAGGCAGTGACGGCTGAAAACGCACTCAAATCTGTGAAGGACGGTAGGGAACAATTGAAGATGGCATACGTGACGAAAGATCGAGGCACTGAGCAATTCCAGCGATGGCGGACAGTGATAGACCCGAGGGATCCGAGACTAGCGACCCTGTCTTAGTTCGACCTAGTTTGGCTCGATGGGGTCGAATTCGTCCTGGGCACTTACCGGCGGAGTCGTCGACCGGCTGTAATGACGGCGCGAGAGCGGAGGCGACAGCTACGAATAGTTTGAGGGCGTCCGAAGTCGGTGGGAAGGCACTCGAGATCGCGCCTGGGGACTGCCACGGTCTTTCGGGAACCCTGGAAGGTGTACACGAGGCCGCTTATCTGTATAAGAGAAGCAAGTCGTTGGGTAAACGGTTTCCGCCCGTGCGCCACCGCAGGCATTGCGTTCAACAGAGCAATCTGGTCGAACGCGGCGGGGAAGAAGAAGGAAGAGGCACGTCACGTCCCCTAGGACACGGGCGTGATTGCAACTTTGCTGTTGTTGGACGAAACGGTGCGTGCGATTGTTCGTCAAATTCGGCTGTTGAAGCGGTGTCGATAGTTGGAGATGCCATTGTATGCCTGTAAAATAACAGTAGCTAGACACCTGCGAATGTGGGAGTAGGTTCAGATTTAATCGCAAACGTTGTATCGTTTCTCCGCTTGGAAGACTGCGATACGCACCATGTTGAGGGCCGCAGCACGGACCCCACATTATCACTTTGAACCATCATCCACCTTCATGACCGCGCAAAGAGATGGATCTGCGGTTGACAGAATCAAGTTGCCATCGGCTCCGGGAGTCGCGAAAGGAGTCGTTCTCTAGGAAGCCGGAGTCGGCAAGGAGCAGACACCGTGCCCAGAAGTTCACGCCTGATATACCCTTCTGCAGCAGGTCAGCCTTGTCAAACACGTAAAGACGGTCCCAGACGGGAAGTCATACCTTGACCAGGCTCTCCTGTTGCTTGGTAGATGAGTGGTAAGCAACTGCAGCCGACCTACCGCTCATCAGCTGTATGTGGTAGACGGAGCATTTCACCGGGTATAAGGGTGACCCTGTATAGGTGTCAAGCGCAGTAGGTATCAGTGCCAGTGCGCAAGTGCAGTCAAGAGAAAGAAAGAGACACGCAGCTGCCAACTATGACCCGTGCCGGGCCGCGACGAACATGTACGCCTTTACCCCCAATTGTTGCTGCGTCGGTCTGCGGCTCCTACGTCGCTAATCTGTACTTGCATGAACATTGACTGTAGACAGTGCCGCCACAATGAGGCTGTGTCCGCTCCACAACAGCGTTCGCATCCGCTCAACACTGCGATAATCCATGAAGCAGACTTGAGTGAATAGTGCAGCTCCCTGGGAGCATTTGTCTAACTACAAACACCCAATCTCAAGCAAGATAGGTGTATTTATGTGTACAGTATCTGACCACGCCTTGCGTTACATAGGTACGCGGCGGGCAGGATTGGAACGGACTAAGGGGATTGAAACGAACGAACGGGATTGGAACGAACGAAGGGGATTGAAACGAGTGAAGGGGTTTGTAACGAACGAATGACACATGATGCGCACCTCCAACCATCAAGAGCTCTCCAGCATGCCTCAAGCAACCACGCTTGCATGAGCAAGCGACTGAAGATGTCTCAGTATGTATGACTGGTTGGGATGTTCAATGCAAGAACATTAACTCACAGGGATGTCTATGACTGTCTTCTGGGCGCCGACGAGGGGTCGTACATGGGAGGTGCGTCCTCGAGAATGGCCTGCATCTCCTGAATCCTCCGTAACCTCTCGATCTCGTCCTGCAGCCTCGCCATCTGCTCCCGGAGTTCCTGATTTTCGACAGAAGGGGGATGGGCCTCTGACGCTGCAGACGAAGCCTCGCCGGATGCTGTCGCGTTTGCCGAAGAGACCGTGGGGGGCAATGGTCGTAGTAACGTCGCGTGCTCTCCCTCCACAGCGGCTTGGACAGTTTCATCCTCCTCGGGTGAGTACTGCACAGTAGGGCCGCGCTCAACGCTCTGCTGGCGCCGTAGAGGTCGGAGAGGCATGTTTGGGGCAGGCAACTCGTCGGAGGGCCACCTAATCGTGGCACGCCGGGATTGGGATAGGAAGGAGTCGACAGTGCTGGAACGGGAGAGGGTCTCGGGGTTCACGGTGCCCTCTCTGATGTGGATCAAGCTGGTGGCAGAGTTCGGCTCTGAGCCCGTGATGTCGCTCCCGGAGTAGTAGGCCGTGTGCCTCCCTACTCCACGATTGCTCTCCATCGTCTCCTCCGTCCTGGGCTTATCAGAGAGCGCGAAACCGGCTGTGAGTGCGGATCGCCGAACGCGTCTCCTGCAACAGAAGAAGGCAATGACAGCCAGAATCAGTAGGGCTGCAATGCCTCCCCCAGCTGCGCCGATGATCACTCCCAGAGGAGCCGAGCGCTTAGAAGTCGCTGCATGCACGACGGAGTCGGGCGTTGTCGTCTGCGCAGTTGATGCAGAAGAAGTAGGCGAGGTTGTGGAGTTCGAAGGAGTGTCATGCACGGAGGAGGGAGGAGAGGTTGTGGGCGCAACAGGTAACGTAGAAGTTGAGGAGTTGTTGGCCGTCTTCGTGCTATCGGAGGTTAGCGAACTCGAAGATGACGGGGTTTGGCTAGTCACAGATGTCGTGATCGCCGTTGTGGTGGAGATGAAGTGGACAATTTGAGTCTGAGTGACAGTGACAGTATCGGACGAGGACGTCGTGGACGGCGGAGGCGGTGGAGGTGGATCAGAGGGATTCCCGTTGTCAAACGTGTACACGACCCTGTCGAAGAGTACCAGGGAATCCTGACCACCAGGCGCACTGATGACCAACGTATGGGTTGCATTGTCTAGCCCGTCCTCCTGGAACACGACTTGGCTATAGTCGTAGTCGGTGCTGTCCGTCGGAGTGCTCTGGTATGGGACTGGCCCCCCGTCGTCGATCTGGAAAACCAGGTTTGTGACCGTCGTCAAGGCGTTCGGAACGCTATTTGCCAGAGCGTTGTACACTTGTATACCTGTCCCCGTGAAAGGGATTGTGATCGTGTACGGAGAATTGTCCGTCGTAATATGGGTGGTTTCGTGCCAGGTCCCATTGAACACCTGCGTTGTGTCCAGGTGAACGGTGCAACCGCTACAGCCACCTTGGGACCACTGGTTGGCTGGTGAATATGTGATGACGCTTGAGGTGTCGTCGATAGTGGCGGTAACAGGTATACAATACACCCGTATAGCTGCAAAAAGAGTGTAGAGCAGGGAGGTGCGTCGGGAAAGGCGATTGACTATCATGGAGAAGAAGGCATGCAGGAGAATGGTCAGTTTCGAGGAGAGGCGAGAGTAAGGCACTCACCATATTCGCTGCTCTATCCTAGGGAGCTGAGACCCGGAGAATAGCATGTCCATTAGTCCATTCTTCGGCGCACCCGAGAGAACCTGATTTGAACTTGCGAAGGTGATGAGGTATCTCCTTCAGTGTTCCTGCCATCTCACGTTGAGAGGTACCTTGGCAGACGCAATTACCACGGCTACAGCATCCGAAGCGAGTGTCCATGCGAGCGACCTCAACGGGAGTACGCCCTGTGAAACCGCACAGGAGACACCGAAGACAAGGCTAGAGATAGATATGCTTGCCACAAGGCGACGACTCATCCGCAGCTTCGTCATTGAATGTGGCAGTGCTACTACCGGGGACAAACAGCGCCCGCGCTGTCTCAGATCCGAAGGCTGCACCGCTGCCTTCAGCTATTAGTATCTATCATCACACTCGTTACCTGAGAACCTCTCAGGCATCCGCAAGACGTACTCAGCATCAGGTGATCAGGAAGAAACTGAAAAGCGGCAGTGCAGTCTGTCCACGAGCTATTTTGAAGGAGCGAGCCGCTCTTAGGTAGTAGCTGACCTGCGAAAGAGAAGGCGATTGAGACCTTGCCCGCACTCCAGCAACGATTCGCAGCATACGGTAATCCGCGAAAAACCACGCCATAATACGTCAATGGCACAGAAAGTAGCCATCAACAGACTGCACGCATGCGATTGAACGACCGTTGTGGTATGATTACTATCAAATTAGAGGAGTCGCCAAATGCAATCCCTGTTCGCGCTACGTCAGATAATCAGCCAAACATGACAGATGAATCATGATTCCAGTAACGAACTCCATTATGAACTTCGAACACAGTCACACTCGCGGCGCTGAAGTGGGATCATAGAGTGGCGGCGCATCGTCATATACAACCGACCTCTGGGTACCCTGCCTCTCCTGCCTCTCCTGCCTCTCCCGCAACCTCTCAATCTCCGCCTGCAGCATCGAAACCTGCTCGCGCAAATTCGAGCCACCTCCTGTGGACGCAGTGCGCGGAGCTATAGACGAGGTATGAGTCGCTGCTGCGGAGAGAGGATGCTGAGTTGTGGAGATGCCATCCGATTCTGACTCTTCATATCCGCCCAGCAGCACCTTCTCTTCTGCGTCTGGGCTCCGGACAATGTTCTCGTGATGTCGATAAGCTAGCTCCGGCGGCATATACGGCACATCCGCGTTCTGGCCAGGCGAAGTATTGGATGGGTAGATGGTGCCAGCGGATGCATCGCGCGACGTGCGTGAGAGCGCGCGCGAGAGCATCTCGGGAGCAATGTGGACTACACGTGAGGCCGAGCTCGATTCGGCGCTCTGCTCGACATCCGAATACGCTCGTTCGGAAGCACCGCCCAAAAGCTCGCCCATGTTTCCAGAGCTCCCAATCGTAGACATGTCTGCACGATGTGTGGCTGAACGTGCGCGCCGATGCAGCCAAAGGACCAAGAACACGAGGAAAATTACGATGGCCAATCCCCCTACTACTGCACCAGCTATCAGCCCGGTAGGAGGACTGCGCTTCGAAGTTGTGACCGCGACCGCAGCTACGCTCGAGGAAGCGGCATCCGGGGTAGTGGTAGTGGCAGTGGCGCTGGAACGTGTTGAGGAGGACACCGGCGATGTTTTCGACGGAGTGGAGGACGGTGCGGAAACAGAAGAAGTGGAGGCGGTGGAGGACGACAGACCTGAGGGAGCTGCCGAAGCTCTCGAGGAGAATAAAGTGTCTGTGATGCTTTGGGTTGTAACGACGAGACCGGTCGAGCCAGTCGTGGTGATGACAGAAGTGACGACAGTCGTTTCCTTCGCTGTTGGAGGCGGCGGAGCTGCCGTAGTGACGGTGGTTGAGGTAGTGACGGGCGGGTCGGGCACTGTGTACTCAACACGATCGAAGAGGACATTCGTGTTGGCCCCGTCCGTTGCATGGATGACGAGGAGATGCGGGCTGTTCGATAGACCATCCTGCGAGAACACCAGCACATTGTACTCAATGTCCGTACTGGATGACGGGTCATGCTGGTACCCAGATCCCACCCTCTCGCCGTCGATCTCGAACCACAAGTTCACGGCCGTCACGGTATTGGGCTGGGCAGCGGTGTTCGCGACGATGTTGTATACAGAGACGGCTGTGCCTGTGAACTGAACCGTGATGAACCGCTCGTCGGTGTCCGTCGTGAAGTGTGAAGTGTCGTGCCAGGTCCCATCGAACGCCTCAGAGGGGTCAGGATGGATCCAGCAGGACGTGCATCCCGCACCTTGTGACCACGACTGAGGAGTTGTATAGGAGATCGCCCCGGACGTGTCCGCGTCGTCGATGATGTGAGTGGTCGAGGCTGCTCGCTGTGTGGCGAGGAAGCCAAGCAAGAGATGGAACGCCACCCTACATCGGATCGCAAACATGGATTATGACCAACGAGCGTGTGCACAGGCCTGCAAGGGTATCTGTGAGGATGGAAGATGGAAGGAGTCGAAGAAAGGACATTGACTTACTACTGCGACATCCTAGGGTCTACGTCGGTGCGAATTCGGCGTGCCCAATTCCCAAACCTATCACAGGTACATATAGAGGCGTGAGCTCGAAGATGAGCTGTCAGTTCCTAGTCTACAGCAACAGAGTACGCCCGTTAGAATATCGCACCTTCCCTGTCCACTAGGCGATGGGTCTGTCAATGATCAGCATCTCCCGCGGATTGCTACAAGCTTTTCTCCCATGCTTTGACGGGCAGTCAGAGATTGGAAGGGCGAAAGAGCTTCCTTATGATGGTGCAGGCTCCAGAACGGCAAAGCTCCTTCCCACCCCATGCGGTGGCAATGCGAAGACACGTTCCGAACAGCGCCCGATGGTGATGCATCGAGTCTTCTGTTCAATAAACCCTCGCCGGATGAGACCGCTGTGCGTCCCCAAGCTCCGCCTGAAGGCCGTAGAAGATGAAGCATTGCAAACCCACAAGACGATACTACTAATAAACCAGCAAAAAATCTAAGCATACTGGTGCGTGTCCAAGAAGGCCTTCGTCACTGCCCGCATCATCTCAAGGAGCGTACTCCGGAGGGGGCTCAGCCAGCAATCGCTGCAATTCCTGCTCCTCCCGTAATCTCGTGATCTCCTCTTGCAGCAGGACCACCTGGTTACGCAGGGTTGACACACCAGAAATAGATGTTGGGGACCGTATGGGCGGGGAAGGGAGGGTCTGTGGCGCAGGGAGTTCTTGAGAGGCCCGGGGAGGGGCTGCTGCCAACCGAGACGGCGCGCTGAATTCTATGTCAGACTTGTGGTCACTGTCCTGCTCAGTGGGCGTTCGCGAGGAGGAATCGAGATGCATCACAGGGATTGAGAAGGTCAGATTGGACTGCGAGTGTTCCAACTGTAAGGACGGAGAGGCGATGGATGGCGATACGGGTGCGTCTGGGAGGGGACGTGAGTCGGGCGCTTCGCCGACGCCTGAGTCGACGCCTTTGTCGTTCTCTTGCCTGCTCATCTGCCATCTGCTGACGACCGATGATGGCTCAGATACAGGTAGGGCGGATGTCGAACTAACGTTCGTCGCATGTTGCCCGTTAAGCAGGGGCGATTGCATGGTGCTAGTTGAGTGCATAGACGCCCCAAAGGGATGGATGGTCGTGGGTAGTGGATCGTCGACAACACGCTTCTCCTGAGATGGCCCTACGACTGCTCTTCTCCTTCTGCGACGCATGCAGCATAGCAGAGCGGCAACGATGATGAGAACCGCAACGCCTCCCGCCACTCCCCCAGCTATGGATCCAACAGCCGCACCAGATCTGTGCGGAGAAGCGGTCGGAGAAGCGTTGGTAGTCGTACGCTGCTCGCCCGCGTTAGGTGACGATGTGAATGTGGACGTGACATTGTCCCCAGAGCTGGTTGGCGACTGAGATCCGCTAGAAGGCAGGCTCGTCGAAGAGTCGTGAGAGGATGTGGGGGGGTTAGAAGACGGGATGGAGTAAAGTGAAGAACTCAAGGACCGAGTAGGAGAACTCGAGGAAATAGCTCGGGGCGAGGTTGGCTGTTGCGTCGGGGAGGGAGGGGGAAGAACGAGCGTCGGGGAGGGTGAATCCTGGTCCGTGAACGTATAGACGATGTGGTCGAACAGGATGAGACTTGGGTTTGTATCCCCCGTGTCCTGCAATACGATGGTGTGTTCCTCGTTCGGGAGATTTTCGTTTGAGTACATGAGTACGTTGTACTGGTAGTCGGTGCTTGTGGGGTCGTTGGAATATGACCCAACAAGTGCACCATCGAGGAGAAATGTAACGTTCGTGAGTGTGGTGATGTATTGAATGGGGGGTGCGAGGATGCCGTAGACGTATACCGCCGTCCCGTTGAACTGTGCCGTCATTGTACGTATCTCCTCCCCAGCATGGGCGGTAGCGTCATGCCAAGTCCCGCTAAAGGCTTGCGACTGGTCCGGCTGCACACGGCAGCCCGTGCACTGAGGGCCCAGATTCCATGCACCCGAGTATGATGGGAGGAGGCCAGTAACGCTGTCGCCGTCCTGGTCGTCGATAGTGCGGGTAGTGGTGCCGGCGAGTACACCTGCTGCAGTGAAAAGCAATATGAGGAAACGAGAGCATCCAGGACAATGAGGGGGGAGACACCCGGTCATGGGGACAGATGCAATGAAAGACCTAGGACATGTGAAGGAGACAAAGTTGTCGGTGAGCTGGCTAGTGCGAAAGTGGTTCGGCAGTTAGGCACCGCGGCGTAGGGACTGCCCCGAGAGGCTCAGCAATAGGGTTCTGCCGCCATCTAGCGCTAGATAGCAGTAGGCGTGTTCAATTCTTGTCGCTCGCTCATTTCCTCGCGCGCCTACCGGGCGTCTGCCTACCTGGATTCAAGGTCAGATCAAGCGCCTGTACTATGTAGCACAGCGAGCAGAGGTGTGCAGGCAGCGGGTGCAACACGACCGCATCAGGGTCGCGAGCTGGGACTGAGGAGCGACGCGAAAGCTTAACAATTCGAAAGATAGAGAGCTCCATGACTCGAGACGCGGAGTCGTCCCGCAAGGCTTACAGTGGCAACCCCAGGTGGCCAGTGAACCGTGTCGTGCCGGATCTGGTTCCGATTTGGGCGCATTGTGTACAATTATTCTCGGTCAACAAGTCTATAACGATCTGCCGACGTCTCCATCCACTTTCTGGACAGATTTTCTGGGTATAACAAATCTAGCATAGGACGGAAACGTCGATCTCGCTGCACCCGCTGCCTGCGCACCTCTGCTCGCTGTGCTACAGGCGCTTGATCTGACCTTGAATCCAGGTCAGCAGGCGCCCAGTAGGCGCGCGAGGAAATGAGCGAGCGACAAGAATTGAACACGCCTAGTGTCAACGCATATCTGCACTGTTGATGGTACGATGATCGTGTCAGCAATTCCTTCTCCCGAGCGAATACAGTTTTGCGATGAGATGGTACGTACGTGGGCCAGAGCCAGTAAATGAGTTCTACGTAGCTCTAGGTTTATCAATGTACTGTGTTTGCGCGGGACGATATGAGTGGATGACTTCCCATAAGGATCTACGGCCATTTTGTCGTCCGTAGATACTGAAAGTGTCCTATCCGCCGAGATGCCGATGCCGATTTGTACTCCGCTTTCGAGGCCGACGTCCGTAGATGCTGCATGCGCCCAAAATCTAGAAGGGGGGGTCGACCCCCCTTTCTAGACCTAAACGCAGCCGTAGAAGCTCGCTTGAGGTCGTAAACGACTCGAAAGGAAGGTGCCATCATTACAAATTGTGTTGGGATCAATCGCCTACTACATTGGGTGCTGATGTAAGGCGCAAAAGAGCACGTTCATAGCATTAGACGCTCTCCGGATATCCCGGCCTGATCATTGAGCGCCCGAGATCTCTGGACAGATTAGAGCTCCGATATATGTCTACGGACACTCCAGAGCCGTAGATCCTTATGGGAAGTCATCCAGTAATGATTCAGAGAGCGTTCGTGATTGGCGCCCGTCCTCGAACGGCGCGTAGAGGCCGCATCTCATACACTTGGTTGAAGGGGGATTCCGAGCGCTAGAGATTCCATCTGAAAGCTTGCCGCATTCACTGCGACACGGAGTGTTCTGGTACTAGTTCTCGAATTCTTTCATGAGGAATAATGCACACACTGAGCTTCCTGGCGGACAAAATCCACAACTTGGATCCCGTTTGGCAAGCGGGATAGGAGTGTGGGATGGTCCGCCAAATCCATAGTTGTACATCTACGGGGAATTTGGCAGATACTCCGACACTCCCGGCATCCCGCTTGCCAAACGGTGCATTACTGAATAGACAGCACAGAGTCACTGCGACGTGACTTTTGACTTGTGTATTGTTCCACAAGAAGAGACAGACATATTCCCGCTGCATTCGAAGCCCAGAACTTGAATGACGCGTACCAAACGCTCTGCCAACGACCACGCCTCGTGGTGGTAGAAACCGTTTTGCCTTATCTTCGGGGGTTGTAGCGTGCTCTGCAAAGCGTCCACGATGTACAAAGCGGTGCAGGCCCGTGCTGGTGGATGGCTGTCGATTCCATGGCTCAAGAAGGGTGTTGAGGTCGAGTTCTCGAACGAAGTGATGAGTAGGTGTCGCTTGGGCAGGAATGAGCGTTGCTCAGACTTCTCTCGGAGTAGAAGGAGAATCAGGAAAAAACCATCGAAGCTACCATTGATGCACAACGCGAAGCAGACGACTTATACTACTCGGGAAGTGCTAGAACTAGATGCGATGAAGCGATTCCGTGGGATGAATAGCGGTGTCATGGCACTGCGTTATTCACAAAATTTCACAAAAAGAGACATTACATAGCTGTAATAATCAGTACGATATGATGGACCATCAGTTGTGTGGACTGTCGACCCGTGGAACTGGTGGAACTTGTCGCTGATACCTGACACTGCAATTGTGAGATCAGGCTTCGCTCTAGAGACATTGTCGTGACAACCAACACACTAGAGTCTGTCGGCCCAAGTGGGTGCAGATCATGCACAACATACTGTAGGCAAGGTGGCCGGATGCATTGGTCGTTCGATAATATTGACGGTCTCAAGGTCACCGGGCCTTCTAATCAAAGCCGGGCGTACTACTGTGAGCCATCATGCTATGTATAGGGACGTGAGAAGAGGACTCACAGGCCTCACCTGACTACTATCTTTCTCGAGGCCCCGCTCGATGGGAGTGAATGTAGGATATTCCGAGCGTGACACCTCGACCTTCTCGAGAATGCTCGCCATGATACCGTCGTTGAGATATGTTTTCGATGGCGCAACATTGTTGTAGGACGTCGGACTAGTTGCAACACTGGACATGGTCGGCCTCGGCGAATGCGGCACATCGGGAGTAGGTCGGATCGGGAAACGAGGCGCGCAAATGATTGGAACCTCTTGACACACGTCTGTGGGAGACAGGATGAGGCATGGTGTGGCACTGATTGAGTAAAGTTCAGCTTACGACCTGAACTGTCAATCATGCGAGGAAGGCCGTCGTCATCGGCTAGACGCCGCAGGGCCTTCTTGTTTGCACGGCGTCGCAGATGCCTGTTAATGTAGAGTGCCGCTCCAGTGAGCACAGCCAAGGCCAATACGCTACCGAGAACTTCGCCAGCGATAGACTCGGGTCGAGCAGACCCGTGAGCGCCGGACGAGGTGGGGGGCGACCCGGGAACAGTGGGCACTCGTGATGCCTGAAGTACGCGTCAGTTGATTGCGCAGAGCACGATGGTACCACTCACAGAGGACGTGGGTGTTCCTGAATCAAGTGAAAGGGAACCTCCCGGCTCTGATTGAGGTTGCGACGAGATGGATGTGATGCTGGACAGTGACTTGTGCGATGACGATGACGACGATGGTAAGGAGGGAGGAAGGGGAGAAGATGTGTCATCATCTGCTGTGTATTCAAAGTAATCGAACATGACCAAAGATAGGCCTTTGGCTTCAATCACAAGGCTATGTGGCACGTTCTGGAGACCGGAGTTGGCGTACACCAGGGAATTGTATGTGTATCCCCAGCTTGAGATCGCGGGTTGTGTGTAGTTGGAGACCGTATTGTTATCGAGGATGAATTGGATGTCGGGTTGTGGACTGGGGTTGTATGGGAGGACGTTGTAGACGTATACAGCTGTCCCGGTGAACTGCACTGAGATTTGAGGCGGGTCAGATTGATCGGGGGTCTGCCCAACCCAAACCCAATGCAACGTCCCGTTCTTGATCTTGATAGGGTCGGGACATTGTGACCAAGGATAAGGATAATCGCATGCCGTCTTCCATTGCGGCGAATATGTGATAGAGCGGTCTGCGTCGTCAATGGTGCGATTCCGGACAGAGGCCAGCACACATGGAGCAAGGAGGCCGACGAGGCAGGAGATCCATACATGGGGGGCCATGAAGGAGTAAGAAGTGTACCTAGTGACTGGCAATAACTGTCAGCCGAGATTACACTCGAAGGGGTTCATGACGCACATTTGCAGGGACAGTACCAATTGAAGAGGAACAATGTTTCGAGAGAAAAGGGGGACACTTTCATAATATAGTCCTTCGTCTACACATCATACATGACGGTCAGACTTGGCAACGCGATCGAAGCTACCTATGCAACAAAGCGGACTGAATGCAAATGTCCCACCATGGCTGTTGGATGCAATGCGGTCCTCAATACCGTTATCGGGTCAGATACGATGTGCTGAATGCATGCTTGGGGCTTCCAGACTAAGGACCTTCGTATGTATTGTGTTGTCGATGACTAGAGAATGAATTCATTCAGAACAGGGAAGCCTGACGACATACAACGCATCAGCCTCCAGTGCGGCGTAAACATGGCGTCGACAAGGTGCATTATGATAATAAAATGAAGACTTATGGACACGTCAGGACGAGAATAGAACCCGCAGTCTGGAGACCATGCAATAAGTCAGGCTTCCACGGGCGCAGGTGATAGAAGCTGCTCACCGCGGAACCCTCATAGACATGACACCAATCCTAGCTTGACACCATTGTCATTACCGTTTCGCGACTGGGAGGGCCTCGCTCAACAGCAGCCTCTCCCTCTGCACCTCTGCCCGCAGCTGGCGTATTCGTCCTCGCAAGTCAGCGACCGACGTGCTACCGTCAGGCCGCCGGTACTTCGGGGCGTCGTTATGCTTCGCGTTTTGATGCGTGCGTATCTCTTCCTCCACCGAGAGAATCTGCTGTATGAGGTCCGCGAGCCGAGTGGAATGCTCCGTACCGGTGGTGGAAAGGGCTGGGCCGGGGACGTCGACGCGGTGTCTTGGTGGACCACGGCCCCGGCCATTCCTGGGCACGGGTGGGTCAGGACTGGTTGAGGTGATTTCTCCATAGTCTCGAGTGTGCGTCGCCTCCGTACTCTGATTGAGCGAAGAGACTATGAGAGATGCGGTCCGCGGAGTGGGAAGAGAGACCGAGATGAGGGACTCCGTGGACGCATGTCGCATGGATGAAGGAAGAGAGGGAGGGCGATCGTTCACTGCCGGAAGCACAAATCGCTTGCTCTTCCAAGAGCGCGGTAGGAGATCTGACCGGCGCCTGCGAATGACAAGGAATGCGATGGCGAGGGTGATCAGAGCACTGGCGATTCCTACTATGACGCCGACGACGACACCAATAACTATAGGCGACTTGTTCCGGGAGGATGACGTCGCGGACTGCGAAGACATCATAGGAGAGGATGTGCTGGGATTAGCTATCATGATAGCAACGTCCGAGGCCGTAGAGTTATCCGTGTACATAATGTAATCAAATAGGACGAGGGACGAGTCGGTGCCGGATGCCTCGATCGTGATGCTGTGCTCGACGTTGGAGAGTTTGTTGTTCGAATAGACTAGGACGTCATACTCGATGACTTGAGGGTATGGGACGGCACTGGGGATGTGCACAAACTGACCAGAATACTGGCCATCGATGTAGAAGGAAAGGCTTGTGTGTGTTGTAGCTGCCGGAATGATGTTCGCGAGGAGCGCGTAGACGTATACCGCATGTCCCGTGAAGTTCGCCTGAACAGAGGGCGGCGAAGCGTCTGCCCCGGTAGGATCGTAAGTAGCGGAATGCCAAGTCCCGTTCATTGCTCTGCTGACATCCACTCGCCCTTCAACAGCCAAGCAAAAAGTGCAATTTGCGCCTTGCGACCAAGCCCCTTCTGGGCGATAAAGGGGTTGGAGCCCTGTCTGGACGTCCCCAAGCTGATCATCGATCGTCCGGTTCAAGGCAAGCGACGTCCTCAATGCAGTGAAGAGGATATAAACGAAGGATTGTGATAGTAGATGCCGCATGGTACTCGATGCCCGATGTAAAGACAAGCAGAAGGAAGGTGTGCGGGCCACAGGTTGGGCGGGAATAGATAGTGGGTAGAGGTCCCCAGATCTCTTTCGGGCTGGAATGACCGCTCTTCAAGATGCCGATGTGTGGACAGGTTGCAGACGTACCGCGTCAATGGAAGCACTTCTCCATCTCTGCTGTGTGATGCAACATAACATCCTGCTGGTTCGTCCTGTAGGAACAGCACTGGCGAGCGGGGTATTGTCGTGTTTGAAACTTCAGACTTGTGGATGAGTGATCCATCTGGCACAGACAAATAACCGTATTGCAGGATGGCGAGTTTCCATAGAAACCAGCATGCTCTGTTGCGAATGTAGTGAGAGATGTTGGGAACTGCGGAACGAAGTGCAGTGTCAACGGCGTCTGTAGATCCGCGAGCGATGAAGCGCCTGTCCTGACACCAGCCAGTAGCACAAGTCTCTCCCCTTCCGGGACGTACATGTTGGACTGTCGATGCAGAAAAATGCATCTTTGAGATTGAGCGATTGCGACAGGCATTTGGTCCGACCACCATATGAGAAATCTGCTTGCACTGTAGTCACGGAACGGCGGAACGAGGACAAACTAGACTTTAGGAAATCTGATGTTCGTATGGACAATGCGAGAATGATGATTCCTGTGCCAGCAGGAACGCCAACTGTGGTTCGATCCTTCTGCCGGAAGCAATCTTTGCCGACGGCCTGAGCAATGACGACTGGGGCGGGACGGGTGGCGAGATGAGGAGCCGCAGTGCAAGTGTTCACGAACAAATCCGTTCAATAGAAGGCACGGCGTGATGCGACGACTGGTCGAACATGTCTGATCGTGCTATCGCTGCAAGACTGCTTCACCGAACATTGCTCTTTGTCCCTCGAGCCACCTTGAAACCATAACATTGGCCTCACCTACACGACATGTGAGTCAAGATCTCCATTCCGTGCCTCTATTCCGCACCTGCGACACATTCCCCTAAGACGCGCTGGTACCTGGATATGGAGCGACCAGTGTCGATCGGTCGCGACACCGTAAACAGTGATTGCGATGCATCTGGGCCACCGCCTTGTATAGTGAGGATTAGATGTGGTACACAACATAGCATGGGTAGCCGAGGTGCTCTACCAAATCCGTGAACGTCAGACTCAAGTGGGAGACAGAAAGAGAGACCCCTCCAAGAAGTGACCGATATTCAACTACAGACTCCCCGTATGAATGAAGATGTCACAAGGTACTTAACTTCCAAATGAGTCAGATAATACATGAGCCGCCATAAGGTACATTGCAAGAGGTCCACGTTCAATGTCCTACTTGCGTGTGAAAGGTTGGCCGGCATAAGGTTAGAGACTGCTCACCAATGATGTCAAAGCTAACACAATCCCTCGGCGCCCTCGCCACCCAGAGTCGCTACGAGACGTACGACGGTGCTGCCTCCAATACCACCAACTGGTCCTGCGTCAGCTCCCCTCGTAGCGCTGCTATTTCGTTCCTCAAAGACGCGAGCTCGGACCGTAAGCCCGCGGTGCTAGAGTGGGGCGACCGTCCCCGTCTTGCCCGTGGACTCGAACCCCTCGACCGGCGCCCTCGCTCGCTGGAGTCCGTTTTGCTCTGCTGGGTTCGGCTCCCGGACAAATCCGACGTAGAGGCGAGCTGTTGCTGCATCTCAAGCGCGCGCACCTGCGCCTCTAAGCCCTGTATTCGGGACAAGTACTCGGCCTGTTCCTGGATCCGAGCCGTCTCAGACGGAGAAATGGGTGGCAGCCGTGGACGGTGCCCCTGGAAACCATCCCCCGATCGGCTCGACGAGCCTGTGCGATAGCTTAGAACTGAGGCGGAGGTGGGATATAATGGAATCCGACTCACTTGCATCAGTCGTCGTTGTCGTCGCCGTAGACCCAGGTCCCCGAGGCATAAGCCGCATCCGCCCGAAGCGCAAGTCGGGCAACTTTGGTGTGCGAGAGAACCGTCGATCCGATGGCCTTCCTGGCGGCCGTCCGGACCGTTCGTCGATAATGAAAGGGTCCACTCTGTCTGCATCAGGCCGGTGTGCCGCGTCTCGTTTCCGCCTCAGGCAGAACACCAGCAACCCCAACAGGACGATCACCCCAACTCCGCCAACCACTCCGCCAACTATAGCGCCCACAGGTGTGGAAGACTTGCCCGCGCTGTGACTCGACAGAGCTTGCGAAGTGGGAGACGATTGGGATGGAGATGAGGATGAGGCGGCAGAGGAAGTAGAGGACGGGTCATCCTGCGAGGTATATACGATGCGATCGAAAAGGATTAGAGACTCGCTAGCTCCACCTGCGTGCATCACGAGGGAATGTAAACCGTTCGGTAGGGTTTCGTTCACGTATACAGCCTGGCTGTAGAAGAATGCCTCGGTATTCTCCGGAGAGTGAGTGAAACTGCCCACAACTTCGTTGTCGATCCAGAAGGTGAGGTTCGTGAACGTCGTCGTCCCAGGTAGATCGTTGGCGATGATATTGTAAACATAGACAGAGATACCGTTGAAAGAAACGGAGACTGTGTGGTCAGGGTCGCCAACGGAGTAGGTTGAGTCGTGCCAGGTTCCATTGAACACCTGGCCGAGGTCGATTGTGCCATTTGTGGTGCCGGAGTGGATGTTGCACGTACTGCACTGCTGTCCGAGAGCCCACTTGTTCGACGGGGCGTATGCCGGTATAAGGCCGGTAATGGGATCTCCGATTGTGTCGTCAATCGTGACATTTTGGAGTGCGGCAGTAAGTGGGAGTATCCAAACCAGGAGACAGACTGCAGACGACGTGAGCGGAGCTAGCGCAACGATCATGCTCTGAGGGAGTTCGGAAACCGTCTGTAAAAAGGGAGTCAATTGAGTAATTCCTCGGGAGCGCAGTGAGTGAATACGTACAGTGGTAGTGACATGAGACAAGGAGAGTCAATCGGCTGCGGAGACATCTCCGTGTCGATTAGGTTCGTGCGAGACGTAATCGAGACGGCACCGGTGTTAACCGCGAAGACTGCTGCTACCTGCCAATGAGGCAATGCTTCCGTCTCATATGACAGTTCATACCCACGCGGCATAATGTCCGGTATACAACACACTCTTCCCGACCATTGTCTTCAGCTTCGAACAGCGCAATCGAGAGATACGAGACGGGAGAAAAGGCGTGAGCCAGCGAGGCAGTGTTCACCGAGATCAATTACAGAGACGTGGCGAGAATCCGGCTGATGGCTCTATGGACAAGCCTAGGGCCTGAGCGTTGGTAAGAGGACATCTTCCAGGCATGCTGACAAACGCTCTGCCCCTTGACCTGAGCGTGAGAGAAGCAGCAAGATGATAGGCACCGGAAGCATAGCCCGACCTTCATAGCGCGTCGCGATTAACAGGAGACAGAGTGAGATTCATAGCTTGAAGATGCTGAGCACGGTGATAGATGGTCGCTAATGCTTGTAACGAATAGCACGTTGATGCGCAAAAGCTGAGTTGGCCGCTGTGCAACTTGAGTGGAACTGCCTACTGCTAGATACACAGCAGAGCGGTTCCAATTGCCATACGCGTCCGCATGGTATACTGTAAATAACAGGCATTGGCACGGCGAGGGGTCCATCCACAGAGATGGCTTCTTCGAGGGCGTTTCTCCGATATCCGCGGTCCTATGCCGAACAGGATGCCCAAGGAAATCGAGGATTGTGTTGCGTCTCTCGGGCCAAGACCACGGGTTTCGTTGGATCGTGGAGACTTTCCCTCTTGAGCTTGAGAACGCTCGGCCGGAGGCCTACAAGCACGGGGAATATACGACTCATTTCAGCTCAGTCATTGTACCGTAACAAGTACTATGCGCTTGTGTTGTGTCCTCGAGAACCACTACGTACTAAGAGCATCATGATGATGTATCGGGTGTCTTGACTGTTCACCACCGCAGGTCCTGGGAAGGGTACTGTGAATCGACCTCGAACACATCGCTATCACCCATCGCGGAGTCCCCGGTAAGACTCTTTGTATAGAACAGTTCCGCATACTGATATCGTAAGGGCTTACACGCGAGGCAATCACCATGTCCTTACCATGAACATGATAGCTGGACTGAGACAAATACCCTGATATCAAACCGTGCAGCGCCAAGGAACTGCGTTCTCGACGAGACGTCTGTGGTAACGTTGACCATGAACCTCATACGGCAATTACTCTGAGGCATGGGCATTGATATTCATCTACCATACCGTAGATAAATATACTCCGACGGCGTACGAGGCATTACAATACAAGGCCTGAGAAGACCACACAAGACGAACAAATAGGTCGAGACGAGACGCGATACAATGTACTATAGCGGGAGGCCGAGCCGGAGATAGAACCTTTTCAGCTATGCGCTTAAGACCTCTCGCCACGGAGACGGCGAGCGAGAGCCTGGCAACATAAATCAATGCACGACAGACAATTGCAGTGATAAGAAGACATACGAGGTCCTTGGGCTGGATGGTCACACGCTTAGCGTGGATGGCAGCCAAGTTGGTGTCCTCGAAGAGCGAGACGAGGTAAGCCTCGGCTGCCTCTTGGAGGGCCATGACGGCCGACGACTGGAAACGGAGATCGGTCTATACACCGACAATCAGCAACCACGATCGCAACAGCGGCCATGGCGAGAACCCACCTTGAAGTCCTGGGCGATCTCACGAACGAGACGCTGGAAGGGGAGCTTGCGGATGAGCAGCTCGGTGGACTTCTGGTAGCGCCGAATTTCACGGAGAGCGACCGTTCCGGGCCGGAAGCGATGGGGCTTCTTGACACCTCCGGTGGCGGCCTGCGGATGCAAACACGTCCAAACAAGGACAACACGGCACAGGAACAGACCGGAACCACATGGAAACCCACAACCCACATCATCAGCTCAGAGCTCTCTCCTCCGAGGGGGAAATAGGAGACGCACCGCCGTCGCCGTCTTCCTCGCAGCCTTGGTGGCGAGCTGCTTACGGGGGGCCTTACCTGAAATTCGAATAGATCTTAGGATCGATATTTCTACACCGCTTCGAAGGCGAAGAAGGCTCAAACCCAATACTCACCACCAGTGGACTTGCGGGCAGTTTGCTGTCGGGGGCGTCGTCAGCGACGTTGTCGACGACAAGAGAGACGATCTCAAAGATGAGATGTGTACTGACCTTAGTGCGAGCCATTGCTGTTCAAGGAGGTGTAATTTGTGCGGTGTTGGATAGAAAAGCGATGAGCAACGGCGAGCTTGAGGGGCGCGGTTGCGGCGGGAGTGGTGGTAGAGAGCGACGAGGGGCGGTGGGGCGACGAGCTGCAGCAGCGAGTCTTGTTGAAGGTCCGATGGCGTGTTTCCCACGGGCTGAAACTTCCGAGCGAACAAAGCACCAGAACGTCTCGCGCTTGGGCCATCTTCCGCGCGCGCGAGGTCGGAAGATTGCCTTCTTTCTCTTTTTCTGCGACAATCAGCCGTCTGCACCCCCCATTCGCCATCAAATGGTGCACACGTACTGCTATAGATTCATGGTTGTCGTCGCATGGTGGGTACGCAAGGTGGTCGACAAGCAATCCCTCGAAGAGGCAGATGTCTCGCTGATACGGCCGGCGCTTATGTCGGAAGATGCACTTCCGTATATGCAGCTAATGCGATATGTATTGTGCTTCTGCTCTGTGACTGCTTCATCTTTGTACAGCTCTTCTACTCAGCATAGCGATGACATTTTTTTTGCAGTGAATCAATGTGTTGTCATCTTCCAAGTGCTCATATCCCGACTGGTCGGTCGGCGAATCGGACCCGTCTTCTACTGGACTATACTAGTTTCCAGCCGCCTTTTTCTTCTCATGCATCATAAATTGCCCTCTGGCGAATCTTCACGTCTTCGTAGGTATCCTTTACGGGAGTGCAGTGAAATGCTTCAGGCAACTGTCGCGGCACATGATTATTGAAACAATCTGTCGTTGTTCGTCGCACCAACCATCGACGCATTAATACCAAATCCTCCCCGGGGCAAAACGTATCTCATTGTCAACCACATGCATGTCTTCCAGGTTGCAATCGACTAGAACACTCTGGCAAACCCGGGACTTTCAGGTAAATCCTTTGCAGGTGCCATTTCGAAGTCGTCGTCGCATTACGGCGCCAAACACCTATGGGCGTCTTTCCGACCGCCGCTTCGCTCGCTGAGTATATATGCAGCGTAAGGACGGATTTCGAGGTACTTATGCACTTACTGAAGTACACAGCGGTCGCGAACATAATACGGATCCAGAGATGCAGCTCGCATGGGGCACGTCTTTGGAACCCCACAGTACTGCAGTTGTAGACCTGACGTCAGTGCACCTCCGCTTCCCGACTCGGATGTACTGACGTCGGTGCGCCAACACCCCTAACTCCTATAAGTAGGGGCGGGTTTCTCAATACCATCCTCACTTTGACGACCAGTCATTTGACGAATCTATTCCGACCTCCAAGCAACACATCGCTTTCTTCATTGACTCGCAATGGCCTCCGACAAACGCCAAGCTGCTAGCGGCGCGATGATGTCGAGCGTGGGCAACTCCCAGATCTACGAGGACGGTGACCAGCGGTAAGCGCAACATCCTCTTGTCGCTCCGATGAGATGCGGAGAGTGACGTTGGGACCGCTAGGACCTCTTCTGCGGACCAGCGCGAGGAGATGCAGCGGCAAAAGGACCAGCTGGCCACGGGCCAGAAGAACGCGCATCGTATCGATGACCCAAAGTGAGCTGTGTCAGCTGTCATTCCGTTGCATGCATCGGCGACTGACAGGTGATGGTTCGGCAGAGACGACCGCAATCTCCAAATCCGCGCGAAGCAAGAGCGCGTCGAGGAGCGGCAAGCGGAGCGCGAGGAGAGTCAGAAGACCGTGAAGGACCCTCTGGAGCCTGCGACGAGGCAAGGCCATGAGCCTTCTCGCGGCGCGCAGATGGATGCCGAGCTCCAGCACGAGGACGAGGAGATGTTGAAGAAGAAGGGCGCATACCATGGCGTGGCGCATAACAAGAAGTCATAAATCGGCGGGGAGTCCGATTGTATCAGTAGTAGTATCATCCAATACAGCCTTGTAGCGTTGGGCCATCAGACAGATATTGCAGTTCGCATGTCCACCTATTTCTTCACGGTGCATATAAGCAGATGATATGTTTATGTCGATACGAACTGAATGGAAATGAACATGAACCGAACGCGAAGCGTGTTGCCGGGCAGTCAACAACGCGTGCTATCACGTGTGGACGCGACAGGACGCGGTCAGGTGATGCGCGCGACCGCGTTGTGTACGCGCGTGCGTTGATCAGCGGCTGATAGAATAAATACCGGACGCGTTGGTGGCCGCGTTGGTGGCCGCGTTTCGTCCCCCTGCTGCACACCAAAGTCCGTTTATTCCTACTCGACACCATGTTCTCGCTCGCTTCCCACTCGCTTTCCAGGACATCCTCCATGTCCAGCCTGGGCTCCGACGACTCCATGCCCGGCCCCGCCACCCATCCTGGTCCCTTCAATGAGACTCCTCCAGACGGCACGGTCAAGCGGACGCGCAAACGCTTCACCAGCGTGCAGCTCATGATGCTCGAGCATCTCTACCACAAAGCATCGCATCCCTCGCGGGACCAGCGTGAGCAGGTGGCGAAGGAAGCCGACATGTGAGTACCTTACGATTGTCGTCGAACGTCGCCTCCATTTCCCGCGCGCGCTCCGCTCTAGTTGCTACGCGCATGCGCACATTTCCGTTCTTCCTTTATCCGCATGCTGACTTTGGTCTCGCAGCGATATCCGCTCCGTCACCGTCTGGTTCCAGAACAAAAGGCAGACAGACCGTCGGCTGCACCGCCAGCTCTCATCGACACCCCCCGCCCCGCCCTCGCTCTCGCCACCGTCCCCGCTCCCCCCTTCCTCGCCCTTCTCCGACGCGTCCGGGAACACCATCCACACCGTCTGCGAGCGCACACGCACCCTCTCCGGCACCTCGTCGACCTCGGCGACATCCGCGATGGGCCGCAAACGCGAGCGGGACGCGCAGGAGCAGCCCGAACCCGCCGCGAGACACGTCCGCCACAAGCCCGCGCGCCACCTCTCCCTCGACGACGTCGCCGCGCGCGCGGAGCGGCCCGCGCTCCTTCCCCGGAGCCCGCCCCAGGCTGCCGTCGTGCCCTCGGGCTCCCCGTCGTCCTCGTCGGCGCCACCCGCTCGCCCGGTGACCCCGGAGCCCAAGGCTGCGCTCGGAAAGGCGGGGGACGAGAACGACGCAGGGGATCGCGCGCTGTGGGAGAACATGCCGTCGTCTCCTGCTGGTCCGGACCCTGTCCCGCGCTCGGAGCGAGACATTGTCATGTTCGGCGGGCGGCGGATCACACTGGAGTACGCCTGTGCGAGGGAGATCGTAGGGGCCAGCGCGCAGGAGCGGGATAGGTCCAGGTCGAGAATGCAGGGGACGAGGGATAAGAAGGACAGAGAGAGGAGGCACCGGCACCGGGACGCCAATCGGAACAGGAATCAGTCGACTGCAGACATTCCAAGCGGCGGATTGCAGCGGAGTCATGACCACGCTCATTCGAGGACGCAAGAGGCGACGAAGGAGGATGAAGAGGAAGAGGACGAAGACATTCCAGTGGCGGACTATGACATGCATGGCGACACAGACACCGAGGGCGGTTTCACCGACGCTCCGACGACACCTGCGAGCAGCTTCGCTCTAGGAGAGCTCAGAAGCATGACAGACGATGAGGAGAGCGACAGCACGATCGCTGTAAAGAAGGAAGTTTTGGTCGAGGGAGAGGGCAAGAAGGATGAGCCAATGACGGTCGAGATCGAAGTCGCACGGAGCGGCCCGGACGACGACCTGATGGACGTTGCGTACGTCTTGTGCGGCCTCAGCCAACGCCGCTGAGCATCCTCGGCGGGTGTCGATGAACGGAAAACAACTGCATAATTGTTTATGATATTATTAGCATCTGTATAAAAGTGTGTACTATACACTCCACGTATATTCGAGTCCCTTCTACGCATCGCAAATACCCAAGAAAGCTACAGTAGGACAGTCAGGCAGAGTCATGCGACCAGCCGATCTTGTAGAGCTTGTACCCGCCTTCGTCTGCACGGCCCACGCCATCCTGCTTCCTCATCTCTTCAACGCCGAGGATAGCCAACATCTCTGTCGCGCCCCGAGCTTCCGGAACATGAGGGAAGATCGCGTCTACCGTGTTGCTCATGCCTTCGTGCCGACCCGTCGGGCGGAGAGGGATAATGAGCCAGAAGACCCCGTGCGCCTCGAGCAGATCCTCCACGCACAACTTGATCCAGCGGGCATGTTCGGGGTGGTAGATGACGTCCGCCGCGAGGATGACGTCGAACTTGCTCGTGAGCGGGCCTTCGTAAACCGGGTTCTGCCAGTCGAGCGGAAGGACGTTCACGAAAGACTCCGGAGATGAGTGAAAGTTCGTGGAGACGTTCTCGCGAAGGTTGTCGAGAACCTGGGGATGGTAGTCCGTCGCGACGACAGTGGTGCCTGCAGCAGAGGGCGAACGGGCCAGGAGCTTCGCAGCAGCGATGCTCAGCAGGCCCGTCCCCGCCCCAAGCTCGAGGATGCGCTGACCCCGGGCGAGACGGAACGTGCTCGGGTCCAAACACATTCGATCCGCAAGGCGTATGGAGCTGCCCCAGCTCTGCAGCCCGACGGAAGTGTGGTCGTCGCTGAGCAACGGGGCGTCGTTCAGCTCGACATGGACGGGCTCGGAGCCGCTGTCGCACGTCCCGGAGCCGGTGGGGAACGTGAAGATCCGCGTGACCGCTTCTTCCTCGTCCTCTCCAGCGAACGTGCCAAGCAGGGAGGCAGCAGCGTCCACAAGAGCCGCGCGCGCGTCCGATTCGTCCTCAGAGCAGTAGTCCGCGTACACCCACGTATCGGAGCGCGCGGTGAAACCGGTGAGCCAGCGGATGGCGAACTCGCGTTCGAAGGGGTCCGCGCGGAGGATGTCAAGATTGATTTCGTCCTCGTCCTCGTCGCATTCGTCCTCGTCGCCTTCCTCGGAGGCGTAACCGGAATCGGGTACGGAGGTATCGTGAATGAGGTGTTTCGGGAACGACTTAGGCCGTGGCAGGGCTACAAGGGCCGGAGCGCTATATATCGAGCGGAGGTTGTCGATCGCCGTAGTGACCTCCGCGAGCGTGTGGGTCGCAAGGCGTGGTAGGGGCGGGAGGGAAGATGTCGGCGGGGTGGGATGTCCGGTCCGCATGTCTATCTTCTATGCAATAGATAATTCTATGCGTGCGTGGTCGTGAGGTATTGTCTATTCCTAGCTGGGATGTCCAATTGAAGATCGCTTGAAGACTTTTAGAAGTCTGCAGAAGTCTATGGAGGGTATTATCTATGGTTTATAGGTCTTAGAGGGCCACGAGGGGGAGCAACCAAAGGTATGAGACAGGGACCCTTGGTTGCTAGCACACAAAAACCGGCATGACGGGCGAAGAGAGATGAGGGGGAAAGACAAGGAAAGAGCTGTGAGGGAGGCATGGCCGGAGTTGTGATAAACGCAGGGTACGGAGGAACGTGTGTTTTGACGTCCGAATATTTTTCTCGCTTCGGCCATCGCCGGACCGGGTCCGCCACAGATATCGTGCTAGGTACTCCTTCTGGCTTTCGCACATACGTTTCGTCGCCCTAAGCAGTCATGCCTACACTTTCCATCACATACGACTTGAACCCGCCGTCAGACACCACCGCGCCAGCGGGACTCACATCTAAAACGACGCTGCAGTATCCCGTCTCCGAGAATGCGGACAGCCAGAAGGCTTATTACGAGGGCTTGAGGGCAGCGGTGCTGCAGGCGAAAAGCTCATTGGGAGAGCAGCTTACAGCATGGAGAGACGTGGTAGGGAAACGGGAAGATCAGAAAGAAGCAACGATACCGAAGAAGAACGAAGACGAGGACGAAGAGCAGGAAGAGCCAGAGGAGCCCTGATACTCTTCGCTCTGGTGAGAGTCTTCAATGAACTCTGTGACTCCATCTTACCGGTGCAAGTGCAGTCACGTTTTCGGAACATCGCGAACGCGAAGAGAGGAGAGTGGTACTATAATGTGTATTATGTATCAAGCCGTACCATGCAATGCTGCGAGCGATAGGGTGCGCCCAACCGAGCAAACCTGGAAAGAGTGTACCTCTCCCCAACTACAAGCCCCGTTTCTCCTTGCCCCGAGGGCGCTCGCGGATGACCATCTTGTTGCTGTTCTTGGGACCCTTCGGTCCAGGCTTCCGCGTGCGAACACCCTTGGCGACCCAACCCCAGACCGAGCGCGGCTGCTTGTTACCCTTAGACTTTCCACGACCTCCTCCGTGAGGGTGATCGCACCTACAGGTACCATGAGAGAAAACCCGGATGACAAAAGGATATGTACACACCTGTTCATAGCCATACCACGAACACGCGGCCGGCGTCCGAGCCAGCGGTTCCTACCAGCCTTCCCGAGGTTGCGGTTCTTCCAGAGTGGGTTGCTGACCTTGCCGACGGTCGCGACACAATCCTGGAGCACCTTGCGGACCTCACCGCTCTGCAGACGCACTTGGGAGTATTTCCCGGAGTCCTCGTGCGCGACGACCTGCCCGAAAGTACCGGCTGAGCGCACAAGCACAGCGCGGCCCTGAGGGTTCAGCGCGATGTTATGGATGATGGTGCCGGGAGGGATGAGACGGAGAGGGACGACGTTTCCGGGCTTGATGGTGATGGCACGGAGGACACCCAGTGCAAGCGACGCTGTCGACGCCGTTTGTGATTGGGTCAAGCCGACGTCCCCCTTCTTCTCCAGAGCCTTCCCTCGTACGTCCTTCGAGTCGACGAAGCCGGGCACGAGGCCGTCCGGGATGCCCTGACGGAAGGACTCTACGACGTCGCCCGCGCGGAGGTTGTCAGGTGCAAGGATATAGCTCCAGACCTTCTCGCCAAAGAGGTCGGGGTTCCGGTTCTTGATGAGCGCGATATGCGCGGAACGACCGGGGTCGTACTCGATACGCACGACGTCGCACGGACCGGGCTGGGTACGCATGAAATCGACGATACGTATACGCTGCTTGTGCCCACCACCGCGGTGCCGAACAGTTATACGACCATGGTGGTTGCGTCCACCGCGCTTTCTTAGGGGGACTGTGAGCTCGCGGAGAGGCCTGCCTTGGTAGAGGTGAGGAGAGAGCGGCCGCTTGAGGTGACGGATACCCGGGGTGACGGGTTTGTAGGTTTTGTAAAGAACAGACGTCCTCGCGAGGGCAGCATTGACCTCCGACGGAGACTGTTGAGACGTAGTAGCTTCCGTGGCGTAGCGGCGTGCGTTCTTCAGAACGTGAGGAAAGACAGCGGATGACGAGGAAGCGAGGGCCGATGAGGACGAGGCAGCGGCGAAGGAAGAAGTGCTAGCGACGTTTATGGCAGAGAAGGCAGAACGGAGGAGGCATCGTGCCGACGAAAACATGAGGAGCAGCTGCTCGTCGCTGCCGCCGTCGTCGATGGCTGGTCAGCGAGGTGGACAGAGCAGCGCGAGCGCACGGTCACGGTGCAAAAGAGAGCTTGTTTGGCGCCCCAGACAACGCGCGTCTTTCCGAATCCTCTTCCAACCTCACCATGGTATGCGACCGCGTATATTCTCCTGGAAGATTATTAGGCCTCATAATTATGCTTTGGCTTGGGACAGGCGACACAAATATCCACCGGTACCGCGGAGCTGCGGGATATCACCAAAATGGAGCGGATCGGTGCGTCCGAGTCTCAGCCACTGCCCAGCCTTCGCGAACTAATGTTACGGGTTCAGGTTCGCATTCGCACATCCATGGACTGGGTCTTGACGATAGGTTGGAGCCAAGAGAGAGTTCTCAGGGTATGGTGGGACAGGCGAAGGCGCGGAAGGCGGCGGGCATGATCCTCAAGATGGTTCAGGAAGGACGCATCGCGGGACGCGCTATGCTCTTCGCAGGCCCGCCTTCAACGGGTAAAACTGCTATAGCATTAGGTGTGTCTTGCATCGAATTTGTGGGAGGTGAGCGGGTTGCTGAACGCGTGTCTTGTAGGCATGGCGCAAACCCTTGGTCCCGATGTCCCTTTCACCATGATTGCGGCAAGCGAAGTCTTCTCACTGTCCATGTCGAAAACAGAAGCCTTAACACAAGCCTTCCGAAGGAGCATTGGTGTCCGCATCAAAGAGGAGACAGAGATCATCGAAGGGGAGGTCGTTGAGATCCAAATCGACCGAAGTCTGACAGGGGTATGTTCGACGCCAACAGAGTACCCCTCGCGATGTACTCATCAGAGTGCACATAGGCGACGAAGACCGGAAAGCTCACCATCAAGACGACGGACATGGAGACCATCTATGACCTCGGCAACAAGATGATCGACGCGTTGTCGAAGGAGAAAGTCACTGCGGGCGACGTCATTGCTATCGACAAGACCTCCGGCAAGGTCACAAAACTTGGTCGGTCGTTCGCGCGGTCAAGGGACTACGACGCTATGGGTGCGGACGTGCGTGCCTGCTGTTTTGCCAGCTTTTCGTGGGTGATTAATATGTTCTTGTACAACAGACTAAATTCGTGCAATGCCCCGAGGGTGAAATTCAAAAGCGCAAGGAAGTTGTGCACACGGTCTCCTTACATGAGATAGACGTCATCAACAGTCGAACACAAGGCTTCCTCGCGCTTTTTGCTGGAGACACGGGTGAAATTAAGCCTGAACTCCGCAACCAGATCAATGCGAAAGTGGCAGAATGGCGAGAAGAAGGAAAGGCGGAGATCATCCCAGGCGTGAGTTCATGTCTTCTTCAACGACGCAAACGCTTTACTCAAGCAATGCATCAGGTCTTGTTCATCGATGAAGTTCACATGCTCGACATCGAATGTTTCTCATTCTTGAATAGGGCGCTTGAGAACGAGCTCGCACCCCTTGTCATCATGGCTTCCAATCGAGGGGTCGCGCGAATACGTGGGACCAACCTCCACAGCCCTCACGGACTTCCTCCGGACTTGCTTGACCGTGTGTTGATCGTCAGCACACAACCATACTCACCTGAGGACATCAAGAAGATTATCAACATTCGGTTCGTATTTCACCGCCTGTGTCTGTATGTCCATTCGCTCATGAGATTTTACGTTCGCAGCTGCGAGGAGGAAGACGTCTCTCTGACACCAGAGGGCCTCGAGATTCTCTCAAGACTGGCGCAAGACACCACCTTACGTTATGTTCTCAACCTGATCTCTTGTGCACAAATGCTCGCGCTCAAACGTAAAGCGGAAGCCGTCGACAGTGCAGATGTCAAACGCGCGTATGAGTACTTCCATGACGAGAAGCGCAGTGTCGAGTGGATTAGCGATCAAACAAACCATCTTGTGTCAGAGGAGGGAGTCGACTTCGCCGTCGGCGGTCAGCCCTTTGGCAAGAGCAAGGCCGACGGACCATCAGATGCCGCTATGGATGAAAACTGAACGCTGATGATGGGTTGTATAAGCTCGTGTCTCTATCGTAGTGTATCCGGTGCGTTGCGCAAGCCATAGTAGTGTTGCTTTAAGAAACTGACAAGGATTGGAAGTTTGCAGTGCATCGTAACCATGTCGTCATTGTGCTTTCCTGCTTCCAGCCCGCGGACCATGAGCTATGCCCGGTGTGTCTTTCGGTGTGTGCCTCGATCATCATATGCTATAGAGACAACAAGGTGTTGTTTCCACGTTTTGAATGACTGTCAATCATGTTCCATATGCTCCCGTTAAATACTCCGTCGGCTGCTATGAACAAGGGTGCACTACCTTCACTGCCTCCCCAAGCAGCAATATCATGGCACTCCGGGTTTACTCCGCTTGTGGCGGGATCGAGTGGCCTTCTCCAAGTATTCGCCCAAGCGTATGAGGGTGAGCTTCTACTCCCAGTCTTCGTCCTGTCGCGCCGAGAATCTCTCCCATTGTATTTCCGCTGCCGTGGTCCTCACATAGCACTCACCATCCGCTTGAGTTCCACCGATTCGTCCGGCCCTTGGTGTAACCGTCGAAGTGGTGCACCATGCGACATGTCCAGCGCGGCACTCGACGGGACGTGATTCAGGGGCCCAGACGCTAGATAGTGTCTGAGGGTCGCCCGTCAATGAGTCAGGGTGCCTCAACACCGTGCCGGAGGTGTCGATAGTCGAGCCACAGCTGTGCAACAATCAGTGTCGGTGGAATGCTCACCATGACCCTTGCTCTCTACCCGCCCCGAAATCTGACCATCGTCGAGTGTGTGCGTATGAGAGGATAGGCTAACAATGGGCCACATGCGTCAAAGACGCGGCAGACGGTCGTAGATGACGACCTGGCACCAGAACAGGGCTTTTATACCCACACTCAATGCACCCATGGCGTCATGAGGGTCCTATGGCTTATGTCTAAACCACTTATTCGCGATGGATGCATGCGTAAGCCGCCTGCTCGTGCCTCTGCCGTAGGGCTGGTGCAGTGCGGCTCCGTCAGATGGGCACAATGACCAAATGTATGGACCCAGTCATGGGTTCTGCCCCTCGACTACCTCCTTCGATGTGACCGAATTCAATGTGGCAGGTTTTTCCGCCCAGGCCCACGGAGAGGCCAGAGGGCCCATCCGATAGCCCTTGCGGAATCCATTCCGAGTGCCAACAGCGAGATCTCCACGAGATTCTCCCTTGTGTATTTCTAGAGCTCCCAAGGCCTCGTCGCCGGTGAGAGCCTGAATACAATGGGCCGAGATGCTGTTCCCAGACATTCTGTGCTTCTGCGGCATGCGGGCCACAGACTTCCGGCCCTATGTGCATCATGGTTCCATGTCTCGAACCACGACCGCTCTGTATCCTCCGCCGACAGCCCTCTACCATCCTGGAGCAGGTGCAAGGCACCAGCTGGTCTTGTTTGGATTTCCTGTCTATATATCAGAGGACGTCATGGACTGCGACGTGCCAACTCAGTCCCCGTTGACCCGAATCTCAACCTTCATATTATCCGAAGTGCGACGCTCGCATTCACAGTGCGTACTGAGCTCCCCATCTGCCCGCGACATTAACCTTACGAGCTGACTGATGTGCCTATCGCAGATGTTCACCAAGGACGCTTCGAGCAATGACAAGGAACTTCCTCGGTCCTCATTGAGGAACAAAGTGTCGGCATTTGGAGCTGCGATAAAGCCGGTGAATACGACTCATCTTTCCACACCGCCACCCCCGGTCATGGTTTGCATGGTCGGTGTTATTGATCGACGCTGACTGCGAGCTCGTCTTCTGCAGAAGCGCAATGGCAGCTCTCGACTGATTGCGCCGTCGGCTCCCCAATCGGAATGTAGCACCCTGGTGAGTCTTGCCGAGCTGTGCTTCTTTCTCCCTTCCTGACGCCTCGCGCGGTCACCTTGCAGGTGGAGTTTGCCATTGAAGATGTCTTCATCAAGGAAGATGCCGCCTTAGAATTCGTACGTCTGTCTGCATCCTTCCCCCAGATCTGCACCACTCATGCTGTCCCTACGCCAGGAGACCGAAGACTACATGCTCGACGCCGATAACACGGCATGGGCAAATGGCAAATTCTCCGTATCCTCCTTCCCCCAAAGGCAAAAGGCCGCTCGCGCCAACCATTCCGCTCTGACCCCGCTACCAGAGGTGTGCTCTGCGTTCGTATTCCTCAGAGCTTATCTGATTTGCGTGCATCCCAAAAGCAGTTCCTTGACGCTGAGAATACTGCATGGGGCACAGCACGCCCTACCGTCTCTCAACCCATAGCGAAATCGCGGGGCCGGTTCCTCTCCTCCAGCCGTCCAGTACTAGGAACATCAGGAGTGGAGGTAAGTCTAGCCCTTCTCGCGGACAAGCATTGAGCTGAACTGCCTGCCTAGCCGGAATACCTTGATCCCGACGACAGGGCATGGATGTGAATGAGGATCGTCCGCTCTGTTGTACCTTATCTATTGGTGCAGTGTTGATTATGCTATACTGTTTTTGATGGCGTCCAATCATCAAAAGTACCGTTCGGGTATAAGGTGCACCTCGAACGTCGGGCTTTCCGCTGAGACGGTCAGAGAGACTACAACTGGACGTAACAGGCTATGCAGCTAAGAACGTCTACGACTGAGCGCAACAGGGTACGTAGCAAGCTGTGTAGCGACGTACTCACGTAGTCGATCCATGGCGAGGTTCTCCCACCTCCGCGCGAGTGTATTCACCTTGCAGAGCCCTTGAGTGTTTTTTTGTCCGCGTCAAAGCACAGCTGGATATCATAAAATACCTGAGTTATGGTTCACTCATGATGCGCAAGGAAATCCTTGTCCTAACCCTACGATTACATGATTGCATAACCGTGTCGTGACCGGACAGCGAGTGCGTTGTCGCAGCGTGCGTGCGTGGTCGTGTAGCCGGTTACGCCGATGTTTCTCGGATCTCTTTGCCCAAGCACGCAGTCGCGCGCTCGATTTCGCAGTTACTACAACACGATTACGCGGCAGTCGTGTAATCACCGAGTCCGGTAAGCGACGCTCTATTCTGAGTTCTCAGTGGCCCCTACAACAAATGGTTTTCCTGGATCTGCCGCAGGACTCAAGCCATTGCATCCGGCAGAGTGTTTACAATTGCACGCAACTGGCTACGTAGCCACGAATGCATGCAGTCGCGCGTTCGCTTTCGCAGTCACAACACAAGCGTGCAGTCGTGTAAGCGACGCCAAGTATCCTATTCTTAGTTCTTAGTGGCCCCTGCAACAAAGCTCTTTCCTTGCGCAATGTAGATCGACTATAATCCAACTGTTCTCTACCATTTATCCGGTTCTAATGCGTGCAAAACGAGTCTACTCAAGGGCTTTACAGGATGTATAGACTTTGGCCTTGCCCTTCGCCGAACTCCTGCCGGAGGGCGCACCAGTTACAACCTACAATTGGCGCGCAGTTACACGACTGCGTGGCTGCATACACAAAGAGCTTGGCGGGCTTCGCCATCAATCGACTGCGTGAATACGTGGCTACGCAGCCTGCTACGTAGCCAGTTGGGTGAAATCGTAAACGTTCTCGCATCCGGAGGGCGCTCCAGTTACCACTTTCGATCGACGCACAGTTACACTACATAGTTGCCTACGCGTGGAATTGGCGAGCTTCGCTATCAATTGACCATGTGTATACGTGGCTACGCACCCTGCTACGCTCAGTCTTCAAGCACAAACGTTCTCCGTACAGCAGTCTGCTGCGAACCGATTGTTTTCGGAACAGAGCTAAACGGGCGCTTAGTTCCACTGACCGGCCACGCGAGACGAATGTTTGGTCAGCGATGGGGTGCCAGCGTTTGCCTGCATTTCGTTTGACTCTAACGTCAAACATGGTTGACGTCCTACATCTGAGGGGAAGATGCTCTTCCGTCGCCTACATAACCGGCGCTCAGTATGCGCAGCCTACATTGCCGTAGCATGCGGCTCTGTCGAAAATGGTTTCCTGATGTGGGCACGAGACCAAATATTCGTGATCTACATACGTGAGGTACCCCGATGATGGCTGCACTTCTAGGTGAGTCACGCTGTGTCGCCACTGTATTCCGAATGACGTACCCTACTTGTTCGGGTGTGTTGCCAGCACGACCCTGCACACGGAAATAGACTTCACAAGTCCGACGACAGCATATGTTGACGCCACAGCTCAAACGTAGGCGACTCTGCTGCTAGGTATGTACTATGCTCGCAATGGCCAATAAGCCAGTGCGACGGTAGCTCGTCGCGGTCCCTTCAGGATGCGATTCGGATTTCAGAGTGGCACTGGGTCGCGTGGATCCGGTAAAACATCCATCATCAAGATGTCAAACGAGAGTCTGGGAGTGCTCCTGAATCTGCGCCTCTGCAACTGATCGGTGTTCTGTTGCGCGGCCTAACGCGGTTTAGCGGTGAAGACCGGTTCGCTTGCGTGGTCAGTACGGCGACTGAACCCCCGAAGTCAGAGATCCACGTCCGTTAAATAGCTTCCTTAGTTCACAGACTTTGCCATCCTCCCAACTATTGGTGCTCTCAACCACAGCAAGACGCTATGTGGACAGAGCTACTGTCTTTCTGTGTAGCTGGGCTTGCCCCAGTATTCGTTTCGGCGGACGTGCTGAGCTTGTCTGGCTTGACTTGGTCTCTCGAAAACGGGAATCACTCAATAAACGTTCCCGCGAAGGTACCCTCTCAAGTGCACCTTGACCTTCTGGAAGCAGGCATTATCACAGAGCCCCTCTTAGGCATCAACGGTACGTCTACTGGCTGATCCACAGAGAAAGTGGCTTACTTTGTTATGACGTTAGATTTTGCACAGCGGTGGATCGTAGACAATGACTGGACATACAAGGCTGACATCTCCCCCTTGACCCAGAATTTGACGGACGATACGAGGGCGTTGCTCGTCTTCTACGGCATTGATACCATCGCGAACATCGTGAGACCAGCGTATATGCGCCTTTAAGGACCATCTGACGGCATGTGCTAGACTATCGCAGGGCACCCAGTCGCATGGGTAAACAATCAGTTCCAACAGTATGTCTTCGACGTCACGGACCTCATAAAATCTCCCGTAAACAACGACACCAACCTCACGGTAGCCTTTGAGTCGGCTTGGCACTACGGGCAGAATGTGACCTCTCGTCCGGATGTGGAAGATGTTCTTGTAGTCGACGTAAGCATTTAATTGCTTCTGGTGGGAGCAAAGCTCTGATCTCATCTTTATGTCGGTTTGGACTAGTTCGAGTACCCGGGTGTCCGTCAGTGGATTCGCAAGACGCAATCTGACTTTGGCTGGGACTGGGTGAGCCTCCTATGGAAGTTGAACATCTACACTGCAGTATTCATCTCTATTACAGGGTCCGGCATTTGTCCCTAGTGGCATCTTCAGGCCAGCTTACCTCGTCACACTCTCGCCCAACGCATCTGCTAGTACGACACCGGCCTCACATCCCCTTCTCGCGTCTACAGGCAGTGTGTTCTTTGAGGAGACCTCCCTTGAGATATCTAAGGTCGGCCAAACATCTGCCGTCAGGGCCAATCAATCCGCCGACTGGCTCGTCAATGTCACGCTCACCGTCCGCTCTGCCGTCTCCGCCGATTCACCTACCATCACCATCTCCGTTCCTGAGCTGAATGTCACCTCGAGCCCTCTTCCGGTCAGCGCTATCCCTGCCGGGACGAATGCGTCGACTGTCGTCAGCGCAAGTTTCACGGTGCCCGAGGGTATACCGCAGCGGTGGTTCCCGCACAACCTCGGCACTCCGCAGTTGTACAACTTCACCGTCGCACTCGCGCTTGGAAACAGCTCGACTGAAAGCTTCACGATCCGGAGCGGGTTCCGGACCATTGAGCTCATCCAGACGCCGTATTCTCAGGAAGAGATAGACTCGCGCGGGATCACTCCGGGCGACCAGTGGCACTTCGAAGTGAACGGAAAGGCATTTTACGCCCTCGGGACCAACATCATTCCGTTCGATCCATTCTATGCGCGCGTGACGTCTGCCCAGGTCAGGTGGGTGCTCGAGGGTGCCGTGCACAGCGGGCAAAACATGGTGCGTCTCATCTCCCAGAGCCTCATTCCAATCACTAAGACGCGCGATGGGGTTTATACAGCTCCGTGTATGGGGCGGAGGCATCTACCAGCCATCTGACGAGCTGACCGGGGGATACGACTTCTACTCGGCGTGCGACGAGCTGGGCATCTTAGCCTGGTCAGAGCTCATCTTCTCGGACTCGCTTTATGGGATCAACGACTTCCTACTCACGAGCATCGAGAAGGAGGTCCGCCAAAACGTCAGGAGGATCAATCGCCATCCTAGTAATGCACAGTGGGCGGGCGGAAACGAGATCGAAGCCATTGTCACTCTCGTGAATCAGACGTTTTTGAATGGCAAGCACTTCTTGGATGAGGTGAGTTGAGGCTTTCAATCAAGATTACGCTAGTGCTAAGGATGCCCCCTCAGTACCAAACCTTGTTCGGGGAGTTCTTGCACGACATCGTCCTAGAGGAACAGTCCTCGGTAAGTGTTGTAATCGTTCATGCAGAACGCAAGGTGATCCGAACATCCGAAGGTTGCATACACGGACTGTTCGACTACCAACGGCGTACTCAGCCTGGACCCCTATGTGGTCAGGTATAGCAACGAAACGTCTGGCTTCATCTACGGGAACTCAGGTCAGTCTCCCTGATATCTGTGCCAATATACATCCTCATACTTTTTCAGAGCGCTACAACTACGACCCTGCCGCCGCTTTCGACTACACTACCTATCCGATTTCCAGGTTAACCGATCCTCTGGCTGTAGATCGGATACATGCTGACCATGTGTATATAGATTTGTGAACGAGTTCGGATTCATCTCCATGCCCTCGTTCTACAGCTGGGAAGAGGTCCTCGAGCACCCTGGCGATTTCTCCTTTAACTCTCTTGTCGTCGCATCCCGAGACCACCATCTGCCAGCCGGCTCGCTCGTATGGCCCAATCCAAATGCTGTCGCAGGCCAGACCGAGATGACAACAGCCGTCGCACTGAACTTCCCCACACCCGGCACGACCGACTCGAACCAGACATTCGCACAGTGGTGCTGGTCGACGCAGATCTTCCAGTCTCTCAACATGCTCTCCGAAATCGCGTGGTACCGCCGTGGCGCCGGCCGGGGAGAGAATAACCTCGGTTCTCTCGTCTGGCAACTGAATGACATCTGGCAGGGCGTGAGCTGGTCGGCGATCGAGTACTCGGGGCGGTGGAAGGTCCTCCAATACGGGTTGACGAGCATCTATTCCCCCGTGACGATCTACCCGTTCTGGTTCGCCGGCAACGAGACTCTGGAGGTCCTCGTCACCTCCGACCGATTGGAGACGGTGAGCGGTACCGCGCAGCTGACGTGGTACGACTGGAGCGGGCATGCGGTCAACTCCAGCAGCGTGCGTTTCGAGGTCCCGACGCTGAACAATTCGGTCATTTATTCTGCTTCGGGGTTGAGTAAAATTCTTCCTGCTGGCAAGACCGCGTTGGACGTCTTCCTGCTCTTGAACGTCTCCGCAGTGGTTGATGGCAAGACGGTGACACAGGAATCTTATGTAGAACTCATCGCTTATTCTTCAGGACATGTCTCTGACAAGCTACCCTTGCAGTTCACTCCGGTCAGCCTAGCATTGGCCAAACTTGTTGACCCCGCGATCAAGATCACGCCTGGCGACGACCTCACATTCACGCTCTCTGCAAAGGGCGGCGTTGGAGTGCATGCGTGGCTCGACCACCCTGCCGGCACGGTGGGCTACTTCCGGGATAGTTCTACGGGGCTTCCTACAAATGGCTTCTACCTCATTCCCGGGATTGACCGTACTCGTGAGTGCCGGGCAACGCTATGAGTCACCGAGGACAAATGCTGATTGTAGCTGATACTACAGTGCAATTTGTCTTCAACCCTTCGCTCTCCAAGGTTGCAAACCCCAACCCGGCGGATTTCGTAGTGAGGTCGGTGTGGAACAACACCCATTTATGAGACGACGAGTTACCTAGTAGGTCCAAGCCGTGCAGTGAGTAGTGAGGGAGCTTACATTTTCTTTCCTCTTTGAGAGACGATCGGCCCCTAGGATACGGTAGCATTCGTAAGGAGCTCTATCTCTCGTTTTAAAAACCTCTCTTTTCCACTGTCTCTCGTTCTTGCACCGGGAGCGCTCACGTCCGTGACTCCCGACATTGTATCTTATTAGCTCCTTACTGCACTCGCTGCTTGCGCTAATACGATTGCGTTTGTGATACTCCAGTCCACTTACTTGCCGGCTGGTTTCCCTCCTGATACTCGGACTCGCTCGCTCGCTTCACCACCAGCTTTTCTCACTACTGCTCGCTCCGCCGTTAGAGAGCTGTTCATCGTTGGAAAGGGACGCGAACCTTGCGATGTTTCCGAATGCGTCGCGCTGTCATTAAATTCGAAGAGACGAAGCCGACCTGCGGGCGTGTATGCACGCACAGATATTGTAGGTCCTTCCACCGAGCATGTAGATGAGCGCGATAGCAATCAGAGAAACGATACAAGTACTATGAAGTACGGAGATATGAAACTGCACAATAGAATATCAGACGAATGCACAGCGGACGAAATGGATACACCCCCAATATCAGCCATATCTGGCCTTCGCCATCTGTATGAACATATCCATGGTGGCCTTATCTTTGGCTCGCAGCTCGTTCGCTCGCTCGCTCGTTCCAGACATCTTTTCCTGCCTTTTCTCCTCAAATCGTCTCTTTGCCGCTTCTCGCCGCGCGATCCTGCGATCTCTGCTCAATAGCAGTTCCCAGCAAAACATATGCGCAAGACTTACTGGGCTTGGAAACTGTCCCCACCCCCCATCAGCGTCGACTCGTCCACGTCGAGGCCGTCGTCTCCCTTATCCCTGAAGGCCCTGTTCGCCTCGCGCTGCGCTTTCTTCTTCTCCAGCTGCCCCGCCCGCCCAAGCTCCTTCGGCCCGACCATGTCCTCGATTCTCTCCTTCGCCTCCTTCTTCTCTCGCTTGCGCTGGTAGTCTCGCTCAGCTGCACGGCGCTCCTCCATGGTCTCCCTCACAAGAACGCGGTCAGCCGCAGACGGCATCGTGGGACCCATGACGCGTCCGCTAGATGGGCCGGACGATGATCCGGAGGATTGTGAACGGTTGTACGTGGCTTTGTCTATCTCCTCGCGTGCAGCGCGTAGCGCATCATTGTCTGAGCGGGATGCTTTGGACGCGAAAGACCACTTGTAGGCTGTCTGACTGCTTGCCGGCGTCTTGTCCACGCCGGAGTAGAGGGACCCTATAGCCGTGACACATCAACATCGAGATAAATAGGTCCAGTCACCTCACGTACTCGACAATTTGCCTTTGTTCCATGCCTACTAGCAGTCAGACGGAGAGTAATCAAAGAGCGGGGCTGTGATCATACCTTCGCAAACTTGCGGAAGTACCTGTCCTTTGTTTCAGTAAACATCGAGGGCTCGAAGTCTATATGCTCACTTTCGCGCTCTGTCGCTGGACAACTCATCGAAGTACTGAAAGACATTATGTGGTATGTTCCAGGTTTCAGATACCGGTACTATTTCATGTGTTAGTGGGTGTGTATGCTGACCTTGCCCTTCTCTTCCTTCAGCCAGACCCTGAACTCGTCGCTCTTGAGGAAGTAGTCGGATTCGGAGATCTCAGACACACCATCTGGCAGCGAGGCCCTCCTCTCAGGAGAGCGGGAACGAGAACGATTCCTAGTAGGAGATACCGACCGGTCTCTAGAGGACGAGCGTCGACGATGAGAGGGCATGGTATGGTTGTAAGCAAGTGCTTGGTGTTGAGCGTCTCTCGGTATCCAGATCTAGTCGTCGGCAAACAATCGCAGTTTGTACGACACTGCCTACTTACTGTGTACATAGATTGCAGTGATACTCAACACGGGAGTCCTGAGATGGCGACTTGGTGATGCAGTCGGGGCTCATAGCCACTCACGGCGCATAGTATACAGTGTTTCCATGTTATGCGTATTGGTGGCGCATGGGCATACATAGAACATGAGAGACAACATGCATGAACCTCGTGATAAATGCGACGACAAAAAGGGAGAGAAGGGGCATTTTAGATAGTGGTCTCGTATGGCACGGGCGTCATCGTCTGCGGTGCGTTATCCTTGGTCGAAATGGTGTAGGCGCCACGGGGGAGGACGTGCTGACGCTTCAGGTTGACACGCTCTGTGAACGAGATGCCCAACGGGCATAAGTAACAGCATTGAAAGAGTTTTAGGATAGTACTCACCGCCCTTCTCCTTCGCCGCTGCATGCGCATCATGGTTTCGCTTGACACGGTCAAGGAACTCCTGCCTGCACTTTGAGTGCCTGATGTGCTCGACCCGGATGTTGACTCGCTTCTCAATGTAGCGGTTGCCGACGACCTTGTTGATGATTATGCCGACAGCATTAGGGGTCACGTTGTAGATGATACCAGTGCGACTACATGCATTCTCGTTTTTGAGTTGGGAAGGCGTAAACCCGTCGAGTATGAGACTTACCCGTGGTAGTACTTGTGGGGCATGCCCTTTTGCTGCGCGGCATTTGCCTTGATGTCGACGATGTCACCAATGCGGTAGTTGGTGAGGTAGGTGGACAGCTTGATGGGGCCATGCTCTACGATCGCAACTTGAGCCTTGGAGAGATACAATGCAAGATCAAAGGTTCGCACCCTTGAACCCCCGCTTGAACATGTCGCGCGTACGCGCCCGGTAACCGAAGGAGTGTGGCATCTTGAAGACTGGACAGAATTGAGCTAGGGATGGTCAAGCACAGCGAGCAAGGAGGTACTGACGGTCGTCGGGGTTGCTGGTGGAGTCGGCACTATGCAATCGTAGAATCCTCAGCCGCTTGCCGGGAATTGCCGGGTGGCTGGGACAAACTGTATAGCTGTGGCTCGGCGCCAACTCTGCTGTTTGCCGTCGTTTGCGCGATACCCAGAACAGTCCGCAGGCCAAGTACCAAGACTCCTCCGTCGTCCCCGCCATCCTCAAGACAAAATGCCTCGGTATGTGCATCGTATTAAGTGCGATAGCTGTTGTTGTACTGATTGTAGACTTCCAGGGCCCCGCGGAACCACAGCAAGACGTGAGCATTTCTTGTTCTTCAAGATCCACATAGTGGAGGGATGCATCGTGCTGATCACAGCCGTGCCCCATTATTGTTGCGACGATAACTTTACAGTTACAAGGTCCCCCGTCGCCCGTTCGAGTCGGCTCGTCTCGACTCCGAGCTGAAGGTGCGTGTTCATGGAAGGCTAAGTTACATGTGGAGACGCATCCGAATGGGTTGGCCTATTCTAGCTCGCCGGCGAGTACGGTCTCCGCAACAAGCGCGAGATTTGGCGCATTGGCCTCATTCTTTCCAAGATTCGTCGCGCGGCCCGTGAGCTGCTCAAGCTCGATGACAAGGACCCTAAGCGTCTTTTCGAGGGTAACGCCCTCATTCGCCGTCTCGTCCGCATCGGTGTGCTCGATGAATCCCGCATGCGTCTCGATTACGTGCTGTCCCTGAAGATTGAGGACTTCTTGGAGCGCCGTCTCCAGACTCAGGTCTTCAAGAGCGGTTTGGCGAAGTCAATCCATCACGCTCGTGTCCTCATTCGCCAAAGGCACATTCGGTATCTTGATCCATCCCTAATCTCGCCTTCGTCGTCTCCTTACCAATCTATATCACAGTGTCGGCAAGCAGATCGTCAATGTTCCCTCCTTCGTCGTCCGTCTCGAGTCCCAAAAGCACATCGACTTCGCCCTCACTTCGCCATACGGAGGAGGCCGCCCCGGTCGTGTCAAGCGCAAGCGCCAGGCTGCTGCTGCGAAGAAGGAGGAGGGCGGCGACGAAGAAGACGAGGAGTAAACGGGTGCTCGCCACCATCTATCACGTATGTTCAGTATCTCATGTGGGTCTACCCTTGTATGGCTACGTATGCAACAGTGTATGCGTTTCGCAGACTCCGAGTGTACTTGTTCCATTCGTGTGATCAGCGCAACATCCTGCGCGACATCTGTTACCGTTCCGAAGTCGCCAGCACTCTCCTGCTCTACGCGTCCACTGTTGAGGAAACCTAAAGTTTGGATTAACACGTTCACTCGCTGAAATGCTGAAGCGTTAATTCTTCCACCCGTCAGACCTGTTTCTGAGCTGTTTACCTGTTCCAGGAAACAGACGCCATTCCCGTCGTGCCTGTTCTTCAATATTGCGTCTGAACGCGGACACTAGGTGGGGTATCCTGAGTGTCCTGATGCCAGGAACTATTTACAATGACGTGGTATAGTCCCTGACTATCCTGTCTGTATGAACCTTCTATACTGCTTTTGAACGAGTGCAATATACACTCTGCAGAAGTGCTCATTGCTCCCGATGGCGAGGACGGACTCGAATACAGTGAGCAAGGAAAACGGCCATTGATGCAAAGTACCTGAAATAGGCAGGAATGGGCGCTTATGAGGGGGACTGCTTTTCCTGGGTCAAATCACAGATACCGTGACACGACGGCATTGGCCAATGCCGCGGTCCCAAATATATATAAGGACCGGAGACAGGCTTGGGATTGTACTCCTGTCACGGTCACGTCCCAAAGGCTAGCTCCCACGACAGGCAGGGCGCGTAATCCAACCCTGTGAGATGCAAGAGATTTTCCGGGACGGTCCTACAGCGCCTTGCATAAGTCCGTGAACGCGCGGGGTTTTTTCTCTCCGGCGTCTAACCTACCCGACCTGCCTAAACAGGCCACATCATGGTCACAGGCCCAGACACGACGGGCAGCGCTCGGGATCCCTTCGCGTGAAACGGAGGTTTGTTTTCGGGAAAGTCGTAACTTGTCCCTTTGCCGACGCGTGCCAAAGGATGCTGAAGGGTCGGCAATGGGAAAGTTGTACTTGCTCAGAGGTTCTAAAGCCCTTTGTCACGGACGTTGGACAGACGCCCCTTTTTGCCGCCCATTCCCCTCCCCTTGACGCCCACCTTCCATTTTCGGACCATTCCCTTTCTTAGCCCATCCCAGTTTGGACACTGCAGATACGTTCCCACACCCGCATGCTACGTTCCCGTGATCGCCATGCCTTTGCCTTTTCCTTCCCGCTCTTTGTTCTCCCTTTGTCATCTTCACTGCCTCGCTCTCGCGCCTTGTCTTTGGTTGCTAAGCAGCCCCTTGAGTATATAAGGACCCCCTTAGGCGCCCCCTAGTCCCCATCTCGACCTCTTGGTCATTGGGACTAGGTGAGTGACCATAGCGTTG